GACTGTCGTTGTGGCCAATTGTTTATTTATACCTTTTAATATCGATTTTACGAGTGTGAAAATAGCAGTAGTTGTTGATTTATTTTTTTGGAACCCATACTGTTCAGGTCGAATTATATTAAATTTATCGCAAAAGTCCGACAATCGACTCAACATACATTTTTCAAAAATCTTAGATAGTATTGAAACTAGTGTAATAGGACGGTAGTTCCTAATATCAGACTTTTCCCCTTTTTTAAAAAGTGGCCTAATTATAGACAATTTTAATATATCTGGATATATCCCCGTAGAAAAAGATAAATTGATTAAGAAAGTAAGAACACTAATAAATTTGTCTATGCTAGCTTTTATTATTTTTGTAGATATTTCATCATGACCCTCAGCATTAGTATTATTTAAAGACATGACTTGTTTCTTTACTTCAGTGTCAGACATTGGCATCACAAACATTGAATATGAATTAATTTTATATAATTTGTCCTTATGTGTGCCTACTTTATTCTCATAGTTATTATTTGTAATATCGATGAAATAATTGTTAAAAATTGTAGCAATTTCCACTGGATCCGTGATCAATTGGTTTTCATGACTGATGCAATCGATACTAGTAAGATTATTTTTTAAATTACCAATTTCATTATTTATAACAGTCCAGGATGCTTTGCAGGTATTTTTACTCTTATCGATAAATCTAATATTGCAGTTTTTTTTTAAGTGGGATATACACTTTTTAAGAATACAAGAATACTTTACATATTTTTCTTTATTAGCAACTGTTTTATGTCTGTAATAATTATATCTCAGCAACCTTTTAGTTTTACAGCTAATTATTGATCCTTTACTAATCCATTCTTGCTTTTTGTGGTTATTGTTAATTTTAATTCTTATTTTAGGGAAGCAGAGATTATAAAATAAACCATACAGATCCTGAAATTTTTGAAATGCTTTATTTATATCACTCTCCGCAAAAACATCCGTAAAAGAGAGCTTCTCTATGCATTGATTAAACTTTTGTATATTTTCACTACTGTAATCCCTTCTAAATATGAAATAAGATTTAATGCTTTGCTTCAATTTAATTGGAAATCTCAAAATCTGTGCCGTTTCATGATCAGACAGATACAACTTAAGCACAGAGGATGTGGCGTTTTTTATGTTACTTAAAATATGATCCAAGCAAGACGTTTTCCGAGTTGGTTCTTTAATATGAACTGTTAAATTAAAGTTTAGTGCTAGATCGTTTAACTGATTTGTAATTTTGCCTGGTTTTAAAGTGTTTATGTTGAAATCACCAACTATAATTATGTTTTTATTTCGTTTATATTTTTTTTGAATGGTATTAAGTAGACACTCCAATTTCTCCAAAAATAACAAAGGGTCACTTTTGGGAGTCCTATAGATGCATAATATAATGATATTTTTTGATGGTAACTCTACACCACAACATTCAAATAATTTAGAGAGTGAAAAACTGTCCAAAAAATGCATATCTATGAAATCCAAGTTATTTTTCACTAATATACAAGTACCTCCCCGTTTTTTTCCTTCTCTACAGTAACATGAAGCAGTAATATAATTATGAATTTTTAAGTAATTTTCATAACCTCTCATAACAAAAGTCTCAGAAAGGCAGATTATATCTGGTTCATTTCCATTTTCAGCAAGTTCCAATAACGTCAACTCTAACATTTCAATTTTTGATAGTACACTAGCGATATTTTGATGAAAAATTGTAAAATAAGTCCGATTTTTACTATTTAATCGTTTTTCGAAAAAACATTGAACTAACACTAGTTTTGTTCTCTGAAATAGTATTACTTATGGGTAGTGCGGAGCTATTTCTATTTATTAATTGCGACTTAAAGTAATAAGGTATTGTACCCTTTTTATGTTCGCATTTAGTATTTTTTTGTGGTGCTAAAATATCTTTGTCTAATTTTTTAATTAATTGCATTTTAAAGTAATAAGGTATTGTTCCTTTTTGGTATTCGTTTGTAAAGCGGTTCGGGTTTGCATTTGATTTGTTGCGCATTATCAATTTTTTTAGTTGTTTATAGTCTAAGAATTTCCTTTCATAATCTAAGCAGTCAACGATATAGTTAATTTTATTGCCTATGTCAATTAGAGAACATTTATACGGTAGATTTATGAAATAGCTATTTGAATAGATTTTACAAATATTTTCAATCCTGTGATTCAGTATAGAAACATTGATCGTGTCACTTTGTAGTACTTTTAGAACTATAACTGGTATTTTTTGATAATTATTAAGATACTTCTCAATTTCCGCCAATACACTATGTACGTTGTGGTCGTGTTCACCTATACATATAACAATCTTGTCATTTTCCCGCAGTTGAGATTTTTGTGTATCGCTTAAAATATTTCTTGTCAACGCATTCGGTTTTAGATTGGCGAATACTTGATAGTTTTCATATTTTGTATTAACTCTCATGTTTCGCAATACCGTTGCAAGGCCAACACATTGCCGTGCACCATATATGTATATTCTGTTTCTTGGTTCAGAATTTTGCAATGTAATATCGGTTTGCACTTTACTATCCATAGGGTCAACAGATAGTTCGTCATTTATTTCGTATTTTGTCGTATCTGCATTCAACTTTTGATCAACAAGTATATTTAGTTTTTCTTTAAGTTCTAGTATTTCCTTCCTACTATTATCTAATTGTTCTTGGAGATGTAATATTTTCAGCTTCAAAGACGTTGTCGTCAGTTGCCTCGATTGAGGCGGCGTATTATATGTCAGGAATTCAATATTCGTTTTTAATTGCGAGTTATTGTTTTTTTCAGATCTACAATAGCTTTTATTGATTTTGTCTAAGTTCCTGCTGTCTTCTCCTGGTGAACAACAAATATTTTTCAAAATATATATTTCTTTAGTTAGCTTATTAGTTTGTTTCTTAAGTTCACCATTTTCTATGATAATATTTTCAAGTTCATTTTGAGTACTCGCTAAGTCAGTTTTTAGTTGGTCAATTACTTTATTTAATTCCTCTATTGTGTCATTTGAATGTTCAAAAATTTCAAAACTTCGTGACAATTTTGTATTCAAGTCACAAGACTCACTAAAAGTGTCATCGTCGGTGAGAATATGCGAGTCAATTTCTGACGATTCTCGGCCAGCGTATGAAGTAGTGGGTGTAGTTGGCGTTTTCACTAGTATATTATTTAATATCTCATCTCGCTTGACTTGTTTGGGCAGTTTTTTTCTTAATGTAATGTGCGAATTCGCGTGTTCAGTTTTACTGGTAACATTTGTAATACAATGATTACACTTTATCGATGTTCTTTTATCAAAATCCATAAGTTTGTACAACTTTTCCGATATTCCAGCGCATTCAAACTCGTATATCTTTTTACATTTTGAGCATGTTAAAGTGTCTTTAATTTTCGTTTTATTTTTGCACTTCGCACACGTTACTAATTGCATCATTTTGGAAACAGATTTATTTTGTGGACTCATGTTCGAAGCAAATAAATATTCCAAAAAATCTATAGGGGTAGAGATTCGATCTGCGGACCTTAGGTTCAACAGTGGCTATTTTATTATTAGACCAACTGACAGTTAAACTACGTGTCGAATGTTTGAATCACAATTAGTTATCTGGAATAACAGGTAACAATGTAGTCGATAGTAAGAACTTGCTTCTTTGTAATAGTCTACACAATGAACACTAGATGGCGTATCCTTTCACTTTAAAATACAGGTAAGGTAATGCCGTCTTGCGGTGAAAACAGGAATCATAAGTTAATCATATGCTTTTGGGTCTCAATAAGCACGTTATTACAATATTAGTTGCTTATGCTTTTAAGTCAATATTCAAATCAACATTTTTGGTAACGTTTTTTATGGAATAGAAATTCTCGTATTTCACTTGTATTGCACTCACCGCTCTGTTGATTTTGACAGATTCAAAGAAAACGTTGAAATGTATGAAATAAATTCCCAATGATTTCTTCCGTAGCTTGAAATATATCACCAATTTTCAGTTATCACTATTGGACCTTCATAGCACTATTTATTCTTTGACTTTTGCATAGATAACATTTATCCTGATTTATTACACACTGATATTTATTTTTCCCAAATATAACTCTTAATTTTTACGAATTATAATTTTAAATTATATCAAATCACAGAGCCAATGCGCCCCCTCTTGAACTTTGAGGTGGTGGAAATTTACAAACCATCGTTTACTCAACTCGTATTTTCCAAATTGGCCTAACGTTTATACCTTGCTACCTTATTAGATGTTTACTCCAATTTTTTGTAATCTTCACCAACTGACACTTGACTTTCTTCACGACAAGTAGGTATCAGACTAAAGGTAGGTATTTTACTGTGGGTATTGTATTTTGTTATTTTTTTGTAACTTCTTGCTTCAAAAATGCCTTACTCTTGTGAATCAAAACGCATGTAATAATACCATTCGATAATTGATGAATTTATCACCTTTAAACAGACTTTAATGTTCTTTTATTAAAAAGTAGCTAACATATTTCACTATCAACTCGTAAAAGAATATAACAAACAAATGAATATACACACTTTGCTATCAATAATTTTTGATAGTACCTATAGATTTTTATTAATAGCTAACAGTCAAAATAATAAAATCAAAACCAAAATTATTTATTCAGTCTAGGCTGTTACAAGCACTTGTGAAAGTTGAGAGTTACGCCATCGGTTCGTAAATCTACGGCGGGAGGCCTTGTACCGAGAAAAACCAGCAAGAAGGCCGAGTCTTCTCACGACCTATTAAATTATAGATTGTATCATTTGCTTATGATGTAGGTGAAAGAATTAATAGTGTGAAAAAAGAGCCTATTCGATGCAAGCAAACAAAAAATCAAATCATATCTCTTTACAATATTAGTATAACTATGAATATTCTAGCAAAGAAAGATCTTACTCAATGTTATTTAAAATTTAATCAACATCAATAAATAAATAATAATATAACAATAGCAAAGTATTTCTACAATAAAATATGAGTCTTAGTTCCTTTTGAATAGCATTTGAAAATTTCAAATGCTGTTTCAGCAGCATCTTTTCCAGTCCTCTTCTTGCATTCTTCCAATAATTTAGTAGCTTCATTTCTGTCGATGCCTTCAGGCAATTTAGATAAAGCTGCGTCCACATTAAGATGTCCCGCATGGTCGACTACACCGGATTTTTGGAAGAAGCAATGTGTAAATTTCTTTAAGGCTTCATCGTCGGCAAAATGACCTTTTTTTGCGTCAGAAAGCACGTCGGCGTGAACTCCTGTCTGCTTAATGCAATCCATGATGTAATGATCAGCCTTTTCTTTCTGCGACTTAGAAAGGTGGACACCCTATGACAAAAATATTTCTTTATTTACTAAATATCATACGTCATATTTTCTGTTACTTGCAAAAGAAACACCTATATAATCATTATCTCAAACAACTACTGCGCGAAAATCCCTCATACATAATCAGAAAGGTTAAGATTACCAAGTTTAAATCATTCGTTATTAATGGTACTAATGGGTCGTGTTCGTATTGTTAGCTTTCAGTTCTTTTAAATTTATTTTGAAAAGCTTATTTTATATTAACATTTACATTATTAATATATTGTAGTAGAATTTTCCTAGTAGGTATTACGTGCCCATCTAGGTTTGAAATATGTTTTTATTATTTGTTTCCAACCTTTTATGTCATGTTATACTTATTACTTAGAAAAGTGAACGGAAAAGTCCTTTGACAAACATTCATACAGCAAGCATACATTTGAAAACTCATAATTTTGAAAGGCAGACTCATCCTAAAGCATAGATTTAAACGCATAATGAAAAATAATTAAAAATACTGATCAAGTGCGAGTCGGAATCGTGCACCTGAAGTTAAAATATTAGAAAAAAATCACGTTTATTGTATTGGAACCCTCTTAATTATTTATTTTAAATTGGTTTCTTAGTATTTGTTATTGAAGTGGTAACAGATATTCATTGTCTGTGAAATTTTCATATGAAAATGTCTAAATTTCACGGTTCATAAGATATAGCCTGGTGATAGACAGACAGATAGCAAAGTCTTAGTAATAGGGTTCCCGTTCTACCTTTTGAATACAGAACCCCAAAAATAAAAATAATCTAAGAAAAAATGGAGCTCTGAGGATTCAAATAATAAGCGCTCAACAAATCTTTCATCCAGGTTTCATTCATAAAGTGTATTATCCCGAACTTTAATTTTGGCTTATTAAATAGGCATAATATCGATACTAATTTCTTGTACCGAAAAAACTCATTAATGAAAAAAGTTTTAACATAATTAAAGGTTTTAAAGCGTTTTTGAAATCAAATATAACTATATTATTTTATATTAGTCTAATAGTTTCTATTGTCATAGTTCCTTAATTTCACAACTGCGTCTGATACCTTTATAACATTAAAATATTTCTGATCTATTTCAATAATAATGATGACTAATTCTTGTTCGTCTGTCCATTGGGTTGATTATTGAAGACTAATATTGTGTTAATAATACATTTAAATATCGCACCAATATCGATAATATGTTAAAATGTCGCACCTTTGTACGTTCTCTACATAATTGTGACGTAACGAGCCCCCACTCTTTATCTATAAAGCCTTTATCTAAGCCATTTTTGTTAAATTGAAGCAAGAAAAAAACGTATCTAATATTTTACTATAATCTGATTGACGGACTAAGAAGAATTTCATTTTTTTTTTACCCAGGCATCATCCATGTCAGGTTAATATTCTGCTGAATAAGTGATGAGTATTTGTATCTAAAATAATAATGTATTGATATAATAATTGTTCAAATAACTCACATGATTGGTATCCATACCGGTCGCAGCCACCACCAAACACAAAAACATTATTGGTTTCATTTTCACTTCACTGGAGTTGTTTTAAACGCTATCAAACGTACGACTTAACAAAAAAATGCTAGGAGAGCTCCTTTTATACTAGGAACCGAAGGAAAACAAGACGGAAACGGGTTTAAAGGAAATAGTCGAGTCTAACAATTATGACCGTATATAGTATGATAAAAAGGTAAGTAATGGACGACCTTATTTTTAGACGTTAAGTACTTATAATTAGATCCATTTGAAACTACGTGGAATCTCTTATAGTGAAAAAAAATGACTTCGTGTGATCGTAATATATGTTGAAATCCTGCATGACTCTAATAATAATGGCAAAAATTATCATTATAAGACTAATTTCTGTTCCCACAGCTGAGATATATAAGATATAGATGAAAACAGAGAAAACTGACAACAATCTACCACATGAGCTCAATGCGGATTTGTTGGTTCCAGCTGGAACTAAATGCTTAAGACCTGTAGGTCTTAATGCATTTAGGCCTTTACCAAAAATCACTATCTTTGAGTATTTCGTCTTTTAAAGCATTCGTTCGGATTGCGAAAGGTTATGGGTTCGAATCACATCTCGGTGTAGGTTCTTAGGGCTGGTAGATGTTTTAAGTATTTTTTATTATTAAAATACCGTATGCAGATTTAAACGGCAAAACCTGTTAAAACGTTAAAATGTTGGTTTAATTTGATTCGGGATTTCGTTTTGATCAATCGAATAGGCTCATAAAATATGTTTATACAACAAATATACGTATATTTTTTCCATCAACTCAAAAGGATATTCGGTTTATGGGATGTAGATATAAACTGATATATTTCACGATTCGTAATTAATAAAGATTGATTCATTTTTAATGCGTCGGAACCTGCTTTGTTACATTAGATTTATTAAAGGGAATCACTTATTACCTTTTAAAGTAGGTTTTATTTAAGTAAACCTCTAAATCTACGTTGGCACTGTTTTCGACGCTGAGTTGGACACTGTATATTTAAAAGAATTTTCGTCATTCATTCATTCAAGAAATTATCACTAACCAATTAAAGTCCATGCTGTTGGTTTAAGCCTTCCCTGTGGATAGAATTGAATGTGCGACTGCAGACTGCAGATACAGCCGGGACCAAGAGAAGCACGGAGGAGCTCGAGACTATACACTTTTTTTGGCCCATCCCATGACCGGCTTTTGTGAAAGTTGCTTAACATCCGCATAGCATATCAGAATAACACTGCAGATATGTTGTAATAAGTAATGTAAAATATGTAGTTAAATATAGCGGAAGACTTTATTTAACTCATAAAAAATTTCATTTATTTTGAACATTGCTTAATGATTTGTCAATGAGTATGTATGACTCGGCAACTGGAAAAAAAATATCTGTTTTGTTATTTTATGTTGTAATGGAAAGTGAATTCATAGTCTAAGAAGTCATTTTCCAATAAGACTTATCTGTATGAAAAAACACGGAGAAAAAGGAGCCATTCATCAGTATAAGGTCTCCTGCTATACGTATGAACAGATGTCTAGACTGAATAAATGATATTAATATTGATTTTAATGCATTTTATTTAAACAATAATACTTAGCAATATATACTTAATTTTAGATCGGTTGAAGGATGAAACGACATCCTCTATTCATGAGTGGCTTATGTTTCAGTTACCGCCGTGTTTATTTGCATCGACTACGGTGTCGCTAATTTTGAGGTATATAGTATGAATTATCTATATAATCTCTGGTTTAGTTGGCTGTGGTACTTTCCACGTTTCAGATTTCTATAATATTTCATCATACATTATATATGATAGATGATGATCTGTGGTCTCATTGACCAATATGAAAATGTAGCACAATCACTTTAAAGTTGATTTTTGAAAGATATTCACGAACTTAACGCTAATACTATTTGATATGTGATAGCAACTGCGATCGCGACGTTTTTCTTAAAAACATATTGTATGAACGATAACGTTTTTTTGACGTTAATCGAAATTGTAAAGTGATAGTTACAAATTTCCTTGAAAATTATTTGAAAATGTCGAAACCTATTGTGACTTTAAAAGTTACACAATTAGGCCAATGTTCTGATCATCTGGTACATCAGTACCACAAAAAATTAGAATCTTAATCTTAAACACAGATGCTTCGGCAAAAGAGTATAATTTACGACAAAAATGGAAAATATAGTGAATCAAATAATTTTATAAATTCACGATATGCGGGTGACAAAGTCGTTACATATAGTTATGTCACATTCAATTGGAGGTTATTTCTACAATTGAGCTACCCAAGATCCAACAAAGCTGACGAATTTTTTCAGCAATTGTTACTTTTCGTTACTAAATTTGTCAGCCATATTGGATCTATGAAATGAAAAAGTTGTAGCTAAAATATTTCTGTATATATTTGTAAGGACTTTGAACAATGTTTATATATGATATGCGGGTGACAAAATCGTTACATATAGTTATGTAATATTCAATTGGAGGTTATTTCTACAATTGAGCTACCCAAGATCCAACAAAGCTGACGATTTTTTTCAGCAATTGTTACTTTTCGTTGTAGCTAAAATATTTCTGTATATATTTGTAAGGACTTTGAACAATGTTTAAAATTAAATTGTATGTCAAATTGACTTAAAACTTGCCTCAAATATTGTAGCGAATGACACGAATCCGTATAATTAATTCTAGTCTTAAAGTGGATAAGTGACTCGTTAGCAGTGACACCGTAAACATTATCTATCGGTAGTTCATATGGCATTCGATATTAGCCTTCAAATATCTAGGCTGTATATATCTAGTACACAACGTTATCAACCAAATATAAATATAAGAATATTTTCTGAATGGGTAGTAAGTAAAAATGTTGGATAATAGCTTAATATGTCTTAAATTGATGCGAATAAAATGCATTTATGAAAATCCACTTATGTCCCTACGTAACGGGTTTGAGATGGCTCGAACCGATTTCTGTTTCGCTAGATCTCAGGGCGTCTGCTTGAATCCACTACGAGCCGGTTCCCATGAACCTGAGAAAGGACTGACGAATCTTTCAAGCACCTGTTACTATTACACTACTAGAGAACATATTTTTTTAAATATTTTTCAGTATAGCAATGTGAAGGTAAAATTGTTCAAATTTAATAATCACTATAAATATTGAAAAACATTTGATAAAAGCTAAATATGACTTAAATCGATGCAAATAAAATACATTTATGAAAATAGAATTATTAACTACTTAACGGGTTTGAGACGTGCTCAACTTCAGTTTCCTATATCTCAATGAGTCTCTTGAATACTTAGTGTACGATAATTATTATGGACTGTATTTGTCAAATAAATGTGTGCCAAACTTCAAATGCCTTTCCCGAATAAGTACACGAATTTCCCAACCTCCATATTTTAGTACTTATTTACGATTGAATATTAATGGACCATTTGAATCGTACAACAGTACGTCATATAAGGAAATGACTATGTTTATAGTTAATAAAATATATCCATTGTTCGTTTTGCAGGTCAATGTTAAACCTACAGAAAAATGTGTGCCACTACAAAATGTGATCGTTGTCAGTCTCGGGGTGGGTGACCAAAAAATTATTAATTCTAATTCTCACAAATGACATCCGATTTGTATTTTGCGCGACGCATTATATCATCAACAGCCCTTTTACGTCCTCACTTACGGCTCTGAAGTAGGATGGTATAGGCCATGACCCTCCACACTGGCCCAATCCCGCATTTGAGGATATTAACAACTTCAAAGACAACCGGAGTCAACGGCTTAACGTGCCTTCCGAAGCAAGGAGGAGCTCAAGATAATGATGTTTTGGTCATCCACCCTATGAACGGCCCTTGCGATGGATATTTTTCTATTTTTTTTCTCACTTCTCTCTCTGCTTTTCTGCCTGACCAATTTTATCGTACATTAGGTATACTCGTATAAGTGATACTTACGCTGTTTCAACTGTTCTTTTGGTTTTGATCTTTTTAAAATGTTATTTGTTTATATGTCTAGTTGTATGCGCAATCTATTATTTTTTATTATGTTTTTCCATCGAGTGCCTGAAAGAAATCAATCGCTGGCCAGCGTTAAGTTTGTCTTTGGTACATAATTACGAATGTTATGCATGAAAAATATATATGAATGTTCGTGTAATTTTCATGTAATGCAATAAAGACTTTACTTACTTACTTAACCGCATCGTAAACCGAATGCGCTAACCTCTAATCTTAAAAAGAGGAAAAATGTAATTGCTTTTTTTGCATCTAATTTGTTCCGAAACCACTAAACTGATTTTAAAAATTCTTTCACCTACAGGAAGCAACGACATACTCGGGTAATTATATAGATACGCTTATGGGGTACAGGCAGATTGAAAACAACACCGATTGGCGATAATTGAAATAACCTGCAAAGCCCGAGATGTTTAAGAGCTCGACCGCATTTCTCTAACAAAGAAAGTTTCAGACTCAAACAATACTGCATAATATGTGTTACGATCAGCAACTGCTGATGACGTGCTAAGTTATCTTGAGGAGTTTTCTGAGAACAATGGTTCAATGCTTAATGAGGAAGTATTAAAAAAACAATAATTCCCGAAATCAAACTAGATATCGCTACGGTACGTTCTTGATTTCTCCAGGACAAGCTTTCCGGTTTTCTTTCTAGTTTAAAAGTAAATTACTTTCCAAAACTCAATATACAACTCATATTCTATTTGTACTTACTCGTATTTGTATTGATATCTAAATTTCGAACTATTCAAATTCCAGTTCTTTAATATGTTAGTTAAAAGGAACGGAAATTACTGTCTTTGGTCCATTCGTTTCCTGCAAAAATCAACTTTTGCTAGAGCCGCCATCTAGTGGAGGTGCGCTTCTTTTTTCAATACTTCCTCATTGCAGCAGCGCAACGCTCTTTTCGCTTGATTCTCCTACTCGCGTGATCGTATACTACATGTCGATTATAAACTTCAGCTTATATGATTGGTCATATAAAATTGAAATCAACTTACATTTCAGTATCCACGATATTGAAAACTATTATAATTTTACATACAATATACCTGAAGTCCAATATTATTAGAGCAATGTGACAACGACTTCAAGTAAATAATACAATGGAAAAATGCATGTAGTTGCGACTCTATTAAGATGCAATAATTACCTACGTAAATATTTGCGGAATTGGTCTACGGGCTGTTGGAATAGGTTTTATTTATGGGGACGACACACTTACATGCCTACAACCTTGGCGATCATTTGATATGTCTAGTACGTATAAGTATATAATATCTTAATCTAATTACCTATGTGACAAAATTATTTTATTTTAAAATCAGTTTTGTATTCGACGTATAATAATTAGTGTAGTAATATCCAACTTGTTAGTGATTCCACCAAAAGAAACTTGAAATAAAACAAAATTTTGATGCTAATTTCTACTGCTAATACTTAAGAATAAATATGAGTAGGTATTGAATCCCCACAAGTGGCAGGGGTGGAGCACCTATGCTAATAAAACAGATTTTTACGGGACATTATTGTTTAGAAGAAAAATTATCAGTTTTCTCGTCTTTCATAAAAAATACGCAACTTTATCATTAAACAAATCAAAACAGTCAATAGCTAAATTGTCTGTTTTTAGATTTAATTCTTACCTTTATGATTTATGAAAAATTAATTAAATAATTAAATTAAATTCTACAGAATTTTAAATTCAAAATCATTTAACATTAAGAATATCAAACAATGTTTACTATTGTTGTTGTTGTTGTTTCCACTATTGAATTTCTTACTCTATGGCATGTATTTTTGGAGGTCAATATCAAATCAAATATCGTATATTTATTTGGTACTAACACATAGGACACTTACAGATAACCAACAGAGAATCAAAATTAACAGAAAACACAAAAAACAAAAATTAATAATATTTGAGTAGTAATAATAATAGTGATGCGTGTCCCACAGTTACACCAAAAAGGTGTCTAGCTCAGCATATGCCGATCTCATTTACTTCTTAAAAGCAAAGAGACCGACGCTGATTTTCAGCTAGACCCCGTTCAAATCTGTCAAAATCTGCTTCAATGCTTCTTCCAGGATATTATTATATTTTTTCGGTCCACCAATGCTAATATTCATAAGAGGAAAAACTTCATTTTTTTTGCATTGAATAGCCTCTAAAACTATTGGACAGATATGATTTTTTTTTTTCATTTAATAGGAAGGAATATACATCATACGCGGGTGCCATAGCCTAGTGTTCCCGCGACGACGCCCGCGTCTTTTATACACAGCTTGTCTACTATAAAACAACTTCCAACTCGCTGTCATAAGTTCAATCAATTAATACCTACTTCAAAAAAACTACTGAATTTTAGTTTTCCGGTTTCAATATTTTTTGAAACAGTTGACCATCGCTGAAACAAAACACTGCAGATTAGTGTCCTATGGCTTCGCCCGCAGACGTTCCAGCCTCGGTCTACTTACACAGTCCCCTCTACCTCTCGTCTCATCATACATTATCAAAAAGTGATACTTTAATTATATCGCTCAAACCTTATTTTGGAATCAAGAATTACATTCACAAAAGGTATGTGTTTATTGTTGCGTTACCAAACTTTATCTATTTTATAGTAAGTATAGGTATTTAGAAAATATAATAAACTGTCATATACTTAATTATTTAACCTTGACGTTTTAAAAATATATATGAGAGAACCTTCTTGAAAATACCTATTGGTTTAACCTTGAATATAATATTCTACTTTTCATAAATGTTTGTGTTCACAAATTTTGAATAAAAGTATTTAACCTGATTTACTTACAGAATATTGTACTATATTAATATTACAATATTTTTTTTCTCCTGAAGTTCCTATGGGAACATAATAAATAGTCTAACCTGGTCGAGTTTAACTTTTAAACGGTTTAATCGCGTTTGTATTTAGTTTTATTAACGGTTCGAACCCTTTACAGGTTCCTTTTTCACATAAGACTTAGGTGTTGATTATCTTTTTAATTAAAAGTATAGCTACGTTCTTAAACTAATACTATTCTTAAAGAGGATGGACCATGACCCTCTACGCTGATCCAATGCGGATTGGAGGCCATTAACAACTTCAAATGCAGCCAGGAGCAACGGCTTAAACATCTTAACGTGCCTTCCACAAAGTAGCTCGTTATATTTTTTGGTCACCCATCCCATGACTGACCCTTGCTAAAGTTACTCACCACTACGCCACTAATCTACCACCGAAATACTCTAATCTATTTTAGGTTTAGGCGGATATCATAATATTAATGTCATTAAAGATTAAAATAAGTATTTCACCGTTAACTATTTCATTTACAATACTATCCCTTACAGGGTTAAATAATGTCAGAAGAACCAACATGTCAACTCAGAAGACGAAGGTCATCAGGAAATCCAAATTTGCCACTAAAATTAGAAGTTGGATACCAAATAAATGAAGGGGAACCAGCGGAGGGCACACCGTCTCCAAGCAGATTCACCGCCAATTCCAGAAGGACTTCGGCGTCAGCATTGCAGGATTTCAAAAACAAGCAACAATCTTTCGACATACAGGTGCCTAAGTATAAATGGCAACAACCCTTGGTATATTTTAGTAAAAAAAAGTGTACAAAAAGAGCTGGATTCATTAATTTATAAAGAAACGTATATTCAAACACACAAATGCATTATCAAAAACTAACAGCCGCATCCGCACCAAATCATCCATCTTGGCTCAGCGACCCAGAATGAAATCACAATTTATTTGTGAAGAAGACATAGCACTAACCGTTACTTTTAATACAGGTAGAAGAATGCGAAGAAGAAGAGATAGTCATTGACAGTGATGACGAAGGTGGTCCAGAAGAGCCAACAGCGAGTGGTGTCAGCCGCCCTATTACGCCAATGCCTATCCAGGACTTCGGAGCAAACGTCGTTTACAGCGAAAGTAATGTTTTAGGGTCAGCTCTTTTCTGACGGAAGATCCGTCAATTGTCGCACGGGAATATGCGTCAGTATGTACGCGACGGATCATACGTTTAGTGTACAAGATTGAATATCATATATTTATCTGTTCTGACGTTTCGCAGCCGTTGATACGAGACATCTTTCGTCAGATTTGTGCCCGCCCTTATATTCCCCATACCTACTTAAGGAAAAATTCATACATTACATAAATAAAATCAGTATTTTTGAATACAATATTCAAAGGTCAGAACAAGGACCTCAAAATTATTTGTGACCTTTGACCTTGAATAATTTAACTCCATCGCCCTCCCGCCAAGTCTATATTTTTGATAAGCTATTGAACTAGTTTTTATACTGTCTCAAACACTATAATAGAAAAGTGTATACCAGCTCTTGGACTATTATTTGCAGGGCCTCAGATGACGGATTTCTTAAAAGTGAAAGCAATAGAACAGGATTGCTACACTGACGTTTCGGACGCGGACACCGAAGGCGAGGAGGAATAGAGAAGAAATTATTTTATGCAAATAAAGTATACTTAACATATTAATTTTGGATAAGCACATGTGAAAATCTATATCTACCTTGAGAGAATTAAACGATTAACAATATTTTGAAATACGTAGTATTACGAAGAGTATTTAAAGATAACTACTTTTTTGCTGTCAAAGGTTCCTATATAGCGGTTAACTGATTATAACAGCCATTCAATTGGAAGGCTAGCCCTGTAACTTCGATCAGCAGAACACGATGTTCTAAAGTAGTAGGACTGTATTAAACTGGTTATATAATTAATTTCTCACTAACTTAGAAACAGAAACATTATTCACATAATACAATTTCAATATGTAAGTGACATTAGAATAAAATTAAATTGTTGAATTTTATAAACGTGCAAATTAATATTTAAAATTTATTTGTAATTTTCTCTTACATCACTTATAGGTAGCTGGATTATTTATCACTTTCAAAGATACTTATTTTCTCTTCTATCACAATAAGAACAACGTATGAGGAACAAAAAATATAATATCTGCCTTTTGACGCCATTCTTTTACAAAGCGAAACTAGCGCCGTTGTGGCAGTGTAGTACATTTATGTAACGGCGAACTTTATAATGATATAAGTAGAAATCTAGCCATGCAACTAACTAGGGCCGTTATATTAAAGGGCTAGTCGTTTAATTGAGCGGCTACTATTCTAACCAGTTCGACTCACAAAACGGTATAGCTATATTTATAGCCACAGTGCGCAGAAGTATAATTCAACAAATATTGTAAATGCTTTAAAACCCAAATATGTAATAATAAAGTTAAGCGAGCGTTGATAACTTTAATTCGAGTCTTCTTATTTCACCTTTTGTATAAAAGAAATAAAAAAATATCATTATGGTAAATTCACTGGCTGTTCCAGGCCTTTCTCGAGTATTTTTAAGGACAATATTTCTAAAAAAAAATAACAGTATAATTCAGATTATTTTTATTGCACATACTGATGTTACAAAATATATGCATACAATAGATACACGTATGTACAGACGTCACAATTACATCTTTATATTTTATTATATATTGTTATTATACATTTATTTGATGAAGAATAACCAGTTGGATACAGAATTTTTATAAAAAAAAAACACAAACAAGTACGGAATTTATTGAATTATCATTGCATTCCAGAAAATTCAGTACATTTTATATATAGAACTATATACATATAATTATTAAGGAACCCCGCAATATATTCGATATTTTTTTATTAAATTACAATCTTGAGTGCGTAACAAAGAGATTTATTACAACGTCGATAGTTATTATATAATTACTGTGCTAGTTCGCTATTCAGCCGTGACTCTTAAACTAGTAATTATCCACACCATGAATACACATAATTATCTGCAATTGATATGCTGATAATAAATAAATTTGAAAAAAAAAATTATATAACATAAACAAAAAGGTCTACAGTAAGGGATCAGACGGCAATCAATCAAAAATGCTTAGATGATTATATTTTTTCAATATCTGTAGTATGACATCACACTCTCCAACTTGAATGTGCCTTTATAAACGATTAAAATTGGAACATAGTTTTGGGTACATAAGAATTATTTACATTAATCAATGTTTTTCGTGAGAATGAGTCATATTAATTTAAAAAAAAATGTTTTAAAAGCTTTTAATGGCTGGCTTTTGCAAAATCTACTCTCCCACATATTTCGAATGAAACGAAAAGCCGAATGAAAAAAAAACTAGAATAAAAATAGTTTCTATCCTGAACAGAACAAAAATCAGATTTTGTACGAATCAAATCTATTTATTTAATGGCACAATTACAGATTACTTATCATAGCTATGGAATTATATCTGATTTATATTTAAAATACAAATTTTTATTCTTTATTTGGGTAGTGATCAATAAAACAAGACCTATTTGCGATAGAAGTGAGGAATATTATTCGATAATAATTGATTCTTTTTTAGGATATAAAAATAATGTTGCAACACCAACGCCATAAATTAATTGGCTTCTTAAATATATAATTTAATTTGAGAAGAAAAAGTATTAAACAAGATTAAAAGGTATAAATACAATGACTAACAAAACTACTAACGCTTTTATGAGCATTTTTAAAGTTTAAAATTCACTTGATTGCATTATTAAATGAGATATATTTGCTGTGGTCGACGTTATAACGTTAAAATACAAAGAAAACATTATGTAATCTCTTTGCGAGAAATACATTAATAAATTGTTTATTGCCGCTATCTGAGTTGCAGAATTATTCCTGTTAGCGTCGCAGTTTTGCATTGCCTATACAAATGCATATACATTTTGTAATTTCAAGTTTTAGTTCATATATATGTTGCTCCTGACAATATCGTTGTGTATAGTTATGTGAAATAAAGCCATTCATTCATAATATATTAATTATAGTTATAAATATAATTTGATTACTCTGGAACTATGATTTTTAACAACTTCCACGTATAAATATAACTTTTTCACTGAAAAAAAAGCAGCCGTATCATAATACGTTCCGTAGTATAAAAGATCTAAGCATACATAGGGACAGACAGACGGAAAGCGACTTTGTTTTATATATAAGTAAATGTCTATTTAAATATGTCGATAACAACGCAGACGGCCATGATGGAAGATCATGTGACGTCACATTTCAATAAACTATACGTCAACGTTATTGTCGCTATTGCAACCAGTACTCAAGTTTATTGAAATGTGGCGTCACGGCTCGAAATGCCATGTAACAATATAATTTAAACCATAATGCCTTGTAAGTAGAGTTTAAAATCAACCCCGCGGAAATTTGACGGTGTGGTAACCCAACATGCAGCCGTATATTCAATCAACAGCACGTCAGATGATACAAATCTGTGAAATTTATTTACTTGATTTTAAGCCTTAAAGTTTTAATGATATAGTTTAATATCAACTGTGGAATTTCATCATGAATGTAGAACTTGCTAAATATCGTAGTTTTATTGTAACACATTTCCAATGGACTTCAGCAAGGTTTTAATTCGTAATTTTATTGTTAAAACAATATGACAATTGTTGCATTGTAATTCGAAAATAGTTTATCCACAAAATTAATTAATGGCGACACTAAAATTGTCATCACAGTAACTTAATCATACGAGTTTAATTATAGGAAAGTGTCTATGTACAGAGAAATCAAATTCGGGTGGTACGTTAGAGTCTCTTTTGTGGCCGCCTGCTAACAATTTCAATACTACATAATTGGTTTTAGCTACCTTCAACAGTTCAGATACCTGCAACAACAAATAGCATATTTTTAATTCAATTCAAATGGTTGAGTAACAATGTATCCTAATATTATAAAGAGAAATATATTCGGAAATAGTGATCTGGTCATAAAAATTCTTTCATTTACGGGAAGTTCCATAATACGCGAGTGACATTGGCTATAATTTACGCGGATGATGTCGCAGGAAAACAGCTGGTGAAGCATAAAAGCCTCAAAAAGATCTAACATAAAAATGGCACCAACAGGCATATGGCGATGTCATATTACCGTTCTGACGTCATTTTAATGACCGCACTAAAGGAAAAACTTCATCTAGTTGTGACTCACCTCTGGATCTGAAGTAGTTATAGTATCTAGTAACGACCTGGCTTGCTGGAAATGGTTACAACCGCCCAAGTACAATATCAGAGGGTTTTGATATCTGGAAAAAATGAATGAATTGAATTGACATTTACTGATGACTCTTATATAGAGCACAAAGTGATATATTTTGGTATGGAGACTTGGTTTTTTACCAACTTGCCATCTTACCTTATACATAGAAATAACAAGGCAAGAATATTTTCTATATTGTATCAGTTTTCATAATACATAAACAAACTTATAACTCGTAAGAATTGATTTTACCTATTATATACTAAATATTATATAAGTAATTGAATAATAGCTATTAGCAGTTCTTAATTAATTGAAATTCTCGTCTATTGATGAAAATTATCTGCGTAAGTAATGTAATTTTCTTAAGTAGTTACTTCTCTCGAATAAAGATACTAGTGTTAGACTTGGCCGTTTATTATAAAGCCTGTCGCCGAACAGAGTTTCGTACAATTACATGTCTCTTTCACTCGTGTACAAACAAATTACTATAGCGCTCATACAGACGTATCTGCGCCAATTTTGTCATAGTAAAATGAACCTAAAATGTATACGATATCTCTCAGTAGGCACAAAGGTCAACGTACGAAATTCTCTTTGTTGCGCGACCGGGCTATACGTAATAACTAGAGATGCGCCGAAAAGTGGTTTCATAACAGAATACTATTTGGTTTAACCTTTACCGAACCGGATATTCGGCCGAGTTATTCAAATTACCATTTCATTGTATTACCGCGTAAATAGGTTTAAAAATAAATGTTAATTTAAAGTTACATTTTTTTGTTTTATTCGCTTTACTATTATTATTATATACCCTATAAGTAAGTAAGATTTTTATGGCCCATCACACTTACAATTGTTACAAGGTAAGTATGAACATAGAAAAAAAAAACAAAGGCAAGTGAAGACATTTTTTTTAAGTACACATATACTTTAAATTATGCGCCTCGGTATATTTCGTGTTTACGAATTTAACCGCAATATTTCAGTATTAAGAATTGTATAGAGCTGTAATACGCCAAATTACCTTATTTGAATACAGCGTGTTTGGTAATACCTGTATAATCCCGAAACATGGCCATACAACCTAGCACAAAGAACACAATTGATAGGTCAAAAAACAATTTCATGTAAATTGATATTTTCATACAAATATTTGAACAATTTGTTTTCAATTACTATGCTACAACCCTGTAAGCTTACACGTGCCGTCCCGGCGCACTCGCTCTTTCTCTCTCTCTCTCTCTCTCATTACCTCTCACTCTCTCGTTTCCTTGAATACATTTTGATGTTGCCGACGCGCGCACTCGACTACGTATGAGTTTACTTGTAATTAAAACAATTTAAGATTAAATAGGTACATACCTATAGCGTTCTAATCACTCTTTCAGCTTTCACTTGTCAACATTACCTACACTTCACCTCCACTTTATCAGTCCAGGGTCTCGATATGCCGGCCACCGCATAAAACACACATCTCCATTCGACTCGACACAGACCGTGTCGTGTTACTCTCGACGTAAAGTCATATCCTCTGTCTCGATGGAATAGGTGATCGGCCGGCCTACCTGTGGCACACTATGGAATGAACCAGTTGTATGTAACCAATTCACAAATGCCGCGAATCACCGGTAAGAAGGAAGACGTCGATGGTTTTCAGGTCTTCCTGACACGTGGCGCTCGTCATAACGCCGCCGAGCCGCAGCAAGATTACCGTCACAAGCACCGCCACACATTATCATCTCGTAATATTAGGCATTTGAGTACGAATTCATTGCACTGACCGCACACAAACATAATACACAGGTAAACAGAACGAGAATGAAAAACAAACCAAAAGTCCCGAAAGAACGAAAACGTAAGTTGACCTTCTAAATTCTGAAAACTCACAAGTACGCCGATGAAAGTCACGGACGCGACTGACGCGATGACCAAAACTACATACCTAGGTTATTATTATTGCAACTCGAACACCAATGTACCTAAATCAAAAGTGTACCGATTTTGGGGTTCCGCGTCAAGAAATATTATTTATTATTAGACCTTTCCATTACAACTAACCTTTATTGAATTATCATTTAAACTAAGAATAAGAGAGATACTTAGATTATTAATATCATTGTATAAGTCCGTATTTTATTGTTTCGTGAAAATAACACGGCTTTATAAAAAAAATAACAAAACTTCAAAGCAAATAATCTATAGAACCTTACTGACACATCAGAAACCCGAGTTTCTCAATACACATCGTCGTCGATTTTATGTCTCTCTCGCTCCTTCTTGCATAGACTAATGTGAGCAATGGTGCAGATATTGAACTTCAATCAAAGTATTTGCAATTTCTTTTTTATTTTGACTGTATTATTACAGAAGTTTTCATGTTAATAATTTTTGAAACACCGTTAATCACAAGATTAGTGTTTTTTTATAGTTAAAAGTCATTTACTACTAACTTTTTCTTTGTTTGGAAATAATAAATTCCTCTCAGATGCATATTTATTCTAGGCATTTATCTTTAGATTTATTTAACTTCTGTTATTTTTTAAACTAGTTCGGCACATGGAGTCGATGACCAAATACAACACAACAGCTGTTTTTAGGGTTGTCAGCGTACAGTTTTACTTCGAAGAAAAAAAGCTAAATATCTAGGTCATGTGCTGGGTTTCAGTCTTAGTGATCATTTTTCTGGGTTCTATTCATCATACCGTATGTGCCATATTCGGGATTATACGGTATTACCAAACACGCTGTATAGGTACTTAAAAAGAGGTACTTACGAAATGTTTTTAACTGGTGCATTACTACTAGGTAAATGTTTGGATTCTGATGGAAATTATCATCAAGCAATAAACACAGACACATATCAAACTTGGCTCCGCAATCAACCGATTCCCAATTTACTTCCAAACAGTCGACAATGCACCATACCGTTTTCAAACGAGAGGAGCGAGTTGCCATTATAAATATAAAACTCACGAAGAAATACTCGAAGCGAATATATTCGACACCGAAACCGAATAATTCGGCCGAATACAAATTGTGAAAAAGATGCCAAATACGCCGAATACCAAGCGAATATTCGGCACATCACTAATAATATGTCAATACTTATAAACTCACTGTAACGGCTGCGTCATCTCGCAGAACTCGTGATAATGCACCTGCGGCGGTGTAAGTACTGATAGTGGGGCGAACCGATGCTTGTACCGGACCGCTTCGTTGTCGAACTCGGATTGTGGCTGACGGATCTTGCCTTGCAACTTGAACGCCACCAATGCCTGCATTCACAATAAAAGAATTGCTAATTTTCATATCCGCTGCGTGTATGACAATATATTGTATTCAGTGAGAAAATTTTAAAATTGTGATTAAAAACGTGAATATTTGTCGCTCTCTCTCTCTCTCTCTCTTTTCTTTTATCTACTAAGACAGGAATAAAAAAATTAAACTCCGGCCAATTACGAGTCGGACAAAAAATCATTTTTGTACTTATTTCTGGTACGGTACATAATTATTTTATTATGGTTTTTAGTTTTTGTTATTGATGTGGCAACAGAAATACGTTTGTGAAATTTCAAGTATCTAACATTCACGGTTCATGGCGACAAACAGACAGATAGCGAAGTCTTAGTAATAGGGTTCTCGTTTTACAGTTTGGGTACGAAAACCTCAAAAGATGTCTTTAAACATGTGGTTATATATGTCATACTATACAACAGGGGAATATCTGAGACTACATAGATACCACAATAGCCAAACGCGAGATAATACAGAAAAGCCTATATTCTAAATGGATCCGATCGGGAGTCGAACTTAGAACCTCAGAGGTGGCGACACCTTGGAACCGGCGTACCATATTAAAATAGCATGCAAATTCATACAAATGTCAATCTAAGTCAGGCAATTGGGATTGTATATAAATAAAAAAATAATATTTAAAAAAATAAAAAAACAAATGATATCACTATTAAAATATATCATAGATTTATGCCAGTATTTACAACTATTCTTAAACTGTATAAAAAAATATTCTCATTCAAACATTTCAAAACTCTTTTTTTTTAAGACAGGTTGATTCCTTTATTTCAGTAGGTATCTTATTATATATTCGCACGCAAATAGCTAAACAGCTTCTGTACTACTTATAACTAATTTATAAATTATGTCTGTCTCTTCGCACTTCTATTCTCATGATTCCATTTTTTGTATAAAAATACAAAACAAAATTGATTATTTATACGTGTCTCATATATTCTATGTCATTTCGAAACTCACTTATACCATGAAAAGTTATAGCCAATACAAGATTGAGCGGATGTCGCCCTTTTAAGTTGATTCTGTCACCTGAGTAAATCGTTTGGGTTTGGGTTTTTACAGAATCGCAGGGTTACGGTGAGTTGCACAAACGTTCATTAAGGCTTAATGACGCCTTTAAGCTCTAATGAATCTCAAATTTGTATCGGTAATGCCACTTTAAACTTATGTCAATTGTAATGGACGTTTGTGCAACTAGCTGTTAGTCTCCCAAGTGCTAGCACTATAACATCATCACCAGCCCTTTTACGTCCCTTCAGGGGCTCAGGCCTTCCTTATGGATGGTTAAGGAGGATGGGCCATGACCCTCCACGCTGGCCCAATGCGGATTGGAAGGTATTAACGACTGCAAATGCAGCCGGGACCAAAGGCTTAACGTGCCTTCCGAAGCACGGAGTAGCTCGAGATAATGTTTTTTTGGTCACCCATCCCGTGACCGACCCTTGCGAAAGTTGCTTAACGACTACAATCGCGAGCCGCGGCGCTTATCCACTACGCCACCGAGCTACTCAAAGCATAACCAACACTATAACATATCGAATGTCAATAGTAATTAATATAATTACAGTGTTATGATGTCTCGAAATCAGTTATTGATACTTACTTTAAAGTAGCCTCCGCACATATTCTGCATTACTTGACACATAAGCCCCTCACGCGCGTACGGTCTAGTGCGTTTCTTCTGTTTTCGGCCACTCGCACGTTTAGCGTCTTGCCTCTTAGTGCCTACTAAAGCTAACGTCTCAGCGCGACCCAAAGCTGACACTAGCCAACCGTATAGGAACTCATATAAATACCTGAAATGACAACATGAACAAAAAATTATTCATAAATTATAATTTCAAAAAAATCCACCTAACAAATAATATAATATGTAATCGGAGGCATGAAATTTAATAATAAGTCAAATCAGTCTCTTTTTGCGCATGCCTCCGACTTATATTGTTCCAGCTTTTTCAGTTAGACAAATTACCAGGTTGGTTCAGAAAGAACAAACGAACAAATTCCGTATTTTTAAACATTCTTATCGTATTATTTTTATTAGTATTTCGGTAACGATAATCATAATATACCTTTTTGGAATACTTGTTTATTTATTTATTTATTGACCACTCTTTCATCTATTTTTACAGGTGATACCCAATACAATAGAGTTTTTAATAGTTAATAATAACAAGTGACATACAATGCCACTTTTATGAATTCACTTAGTGAACACAAGAAAAGGTCGATATTCTCGGCTATATGGTTGAGGGTGCGCAGTGCACACGCCAGTATTGTATTGAGCCTTATAATTTATATTGAAGTATTTGAAAAAAAACATCATTAAATATAACGGCGACGCATAGCCTGCAAATTTGATTTATTAACGTTACTTATATAAGAACACTTGGGCTACTAAAACAAATCTAACAATACCTCAAGTCTAGATTCGTTCAGCAGTTCTGAAGATATGTGGTAATAAAGAATAATACATACATACATACAAGATACGCGCGAAACATATAGCCCTTCCTTTGCAGTCGGGTAAAAAAATCTAACTACTTTTTAACAAATTTAATCAGTGTCTGACAAATTTAATTTTTTAAGCATTTTTCTGTGAGTGCAAAATTCAGGATCTGATGTCCGCTACGGTATATAACTCACCAGAATATGTAGTGATACTCGTGGACGCTGTAAAGCTCCAACTCTAACCCAGAGAGGAGGTAAGCGATCATAACCCTCAACACGTGGTACAAAATCCAGGTACCGAAGCAAGCTCGCGGTTCAGTACCCGCGGCACCGCTCAAAACCGCATCTACACTCTCCGCCTTCAAAAAGAATTATAATATACCATCAGTTCCTGTAAAAAGCAACGTACGCGAGTCAAATAAGAATAGCTTCAACGTATGCAAAAAACGAATGAAAGTATTTATATATATATCAACGCATTATCCGACATTTGTAATTGAACCCGAAGTTTAAAATAGCAACGCCTTTAGAGTAGCCAACATTAACATTCGAAAAAAAATCGTCAACTACATAATATTTAGTAATAAAGAAAAAACTACAACATTAAAAAATAGTTTTTATTAATTCATGCTAAAGATGTTCCAATACTAATAATAAAGCTAGTAATGTGTAAAAAGTTACACGATTCCAAATAAAGATGTTTCAATACTAATAATAAATCCAGTTATATGCAAAAAGTTACACGATTCCAAGTATATATTTATCGAACTATATTTTCTTTGCTGTCAGTACTAAAATGACAGCTAAGCCGTGAAGTGAAGCTTTCTTATTTGGCTCGCATAGTTATATCAAATCAGCAATTACCTCTTCCTGTAATGCTGCGAATTCGTCAAGCAACAACGCGAGCTTGTCGCGCTGCCGAGCGCGGTTATGGCCGCAAACTTGCAACAAAACCGCGAACGGTCGCACGCAACGGGCTAAAAAGTTTTCCACGAACTCGCGCGCCTACAAAACAAACGCACAATAAGTAATTTTCATAGACACAGAAGAGAAAGTTTCCGTTACAAATCTACTTCTTTTATTATCTTAAAATATATTTATTGACACTATGCACGTTTAAAAAGGATTCTGAGGAGTGTGAGGCTCAATACCAAAGACTTCTAAATAAAATCTTAAGATGTTACATTATTATGAAACAAATCTACAGCAGCAAAGAAAAAACGGACAACTATATTTTGGTCAAATTCACTTTTTTACGTAGAATGCTTTAGAATACTCTATTCCGTCACGTATTTTTATTTCATGCCTGAAATATCATTACTTTTTGAGATTTGTTCAAGAAAGATACTGATCAATACTACTCATGTTAAAATCAATTCTTTCTTCTTTACGCGCTAGTTATAAGTCATTAATTTTATAAACTTTGAGCACTGAATACGAGGGTCTAACGAGGTAGCCAGCTGCTTGTACTGCTATGTATCACAAGTTGCAAAAGGAATGAAAGATATACTTTTATGGTCCGATAATTATGGCGGATAAAAACTTTGATATATTTTTAAGCTGCTTAATATTTTTAATAGAAGTTATGAATGGTACACTCGTGTAAGACGATGTAAAGTGACCAGAAAACCTTGCAAAATAATAGAAGTTTGTACAGAAGATGTTTCTTACTTCAAATTGATTTTAAGCAATATTTGTAGCTCAAAAATTCAAACAAAGGAAAGGTACATAAATCAAATCCAAGAGATAAATCTACATCTACGTGATCTCTTTGTCAATGTCTATAGAATGTTTTCGACGCACACAGCCTCTAACTTCATCAAGTTCTCTTTGCTAGCAAAACTTGACTCCTAAAAGATACAAATATAAAAAAAACACACACATCTATATTTTTGTAACAAATACATGTTTATGCAATAAGCTATTTGATTTGACGTTTGTTATCAATGCACCTGGAATTTACTATGGCGGGCTATAAAAAATAATATTGCTTAAAGTTCCTTTCCGAGATTGTAACTAATATTTGCTTTTTTAAATCGTGGTTATTAATCATGTTTTAAAATATCTCTCTTATTTTTGTCTTCTTTTTTAATTTTTTATAGCAAATGAAATTTTAACAGCATTAATAAATATAATAACTGGTTTAATTACTCATAAATTTATTAGTTTAAAAGTTAAAAAGCCCGGCGTATACAAAGATATGTGTTAGTTAACTAATTTAGTGTAGTTTTTGGTACGAAGTAAATAAAGCATCATATCAAAACTAGGGATATGTACTTTGAAATGCAAGGCCATCAATCCCAAATCAGTTTCTTGAATTCATTAGCCGCCTTTTTAGTTTGTAAGAATTATTTTTCGATTATTTTAAAGGACATTTAAGGTTTTGGTAAAAAAAAAAACAAAACCAAGATACAGGTAAGGTGACCTGTATCTTATATGAACATAATCCCAATATATAGTTCAAACTGTAGGTTTAAAGGTGAAATTCCATGTCAAGTATCCATTCATGCGATTACAGGTATATGTAATGCCAAATATTGACGTCATAACCTCCTACTCGTCCCTTAAAACGTGAGACATGTTTAATAATTAGACGATTCACTGTTACATATTCATTAATCTGTAATAGTATAAATTACCAACAATATCCAATATTTATCACATTCAACACTCGTCAGTCGAAAGGGCTTAAGGGCTTAATCTCTATACCAAAAAATATCTCAGCCAACATGAAGTTATCGGTATTCTTTATTATCTGCATTGTGAGCATATTCAGCATATCAGCGAAGACTCCAGTTCAATTCTTCTGTGGCAGACGTTTAGCTGACACTTTAGCTCTGTTTTGCCCAAGTACACGTGACACGACCAAGAGATCAGAAGAATTATACAAGCGGAGTTACTATCATAGAGGAAATGATGTGCTTCCTGTTAGAGATGAAGATTTGTTCGGTGAGTTGCAGTTGGGAGGGAATAATTATGCTTCCAGGGACAATTGGGTATGGAATAGTGCTCTGCAGAGTTCCCGTATAAAGAGAGGTGTTGTATCCGAATGCTGTGACAACCCCTGCAGTCTCGATGAACTACTGACTTACTGTTAAAAAATCAATTCATTGTCATTTAATCTTTACGTACTTAAACTTACATAAACATCTTAATTTATAGTATAGTTGCATTTGAAATTTCTTGTATTTTATTTACCTTGTAATAAGAGTGAATCTGTCAAAAAATGTAATTTGTTTAAACAAATTTTAATATGTGTACTTTAAATGTATATTAATACGAGACAAAGAATTGCTACTTATCAGAAAAGAATAACCAATCATCTTAGTTCCTATGTTTGTAATATTTAAATTATAAATAAAATTTAAGATAATAAACTTGTCACGAGAATACCTTAAATGTAATTGTTTTATTAATACATTATACATTTACAAATAAAATAAGTTTTCACTTAATAATATCACAGATACTGATTATGAATTATAATTTGCTAAAACCAAAAATTTTGCATGGAAGTTAACGAGCACTAATCAGATAAATAGTATTATTAATAATAATAATAATTCCTTTATTTTTTGTACAAACACCAGTAACATAAATATTTGAGGCCCTGACTTCTAAGTTAGTGTCTCCCCAATGACATTTCAATATTTAGATAGGTACTAAGTATAAACAAGTTGGAATGTTATAAGGAATGTAAATATATATATATATATGGTTACAAACTTTCGTGCATACTATGTGTGTGTTTTCGTGAAAATTAAATTACTTTAAACTGTTATATACCCGAACAATGTAAACAATGCACTTTAATGTAATGCTCGTAACTATAATTCATATTTACGTCTGTTTTTTCTTAGGAGATAAAAAAATGTTAACTATAAACTCTTTGTTACTTATGACATCCCTAATGTACCCGGAGGTTGAAAGCGTTTATATTAATATTTAAAATAAAAAATTGTTTTTTTTTGTAAATGTAATATATTATAAATAACATCTCAAACTGTACTTAAACAGATTTTCATTTCCGATTTTAGTTTCTTTAATAATAATAATCAGTTGATAGGGGTTTAACTGAAACTAAAACTAGAGAGATAAAACTAAGACTTGTGAAGCGAAGCGATTCGGTGTACCCAGAGTCTCCAATAATCGTAATAATATAATAAAGTTATAAATGTATGAGCGTTGGGGGGGAGGTGTAAACGCAATTTTAAATTTCTGCCCCAGTTTGAAAGTTGTTTATCCAGGCCTATTGCTGCCCCGGGTCCCCGATGAGTTTAGTGCGCCACTGGTAAAAACTTAAGTTGTTGTGAATAATCAGTTGTGATTTTGTACTTTTCTCAATTCAGAAACCGACTGTTAGTCTGTGTAGTTGCACGTCAACGAAAAAAAGGTTAGCTGATTTAGAAAGTGTTAATTCTAACCTGGGGCGTGGAGACCATTGGCGACTTGGGCGTGAGCACTGGCAGGTTCACGAAGCTGTTGATACGTCAACGAGAAAAAAGGTTAGCATCAGCTGATTTAGAGTGTTAATTCTGACCTGAGGCGTGGAGACCATGGGCGACTTGGGCGTGAGCGCTGGCGGGTTCACGAAGCTCTTGACAGAATCCCGCAGGATCTCGACGAAGGCGTGATGTGGCCGCGGCTGGCCGACGGGCCCGTTCATGGCGCTCTGGGCCATCGAGGCGGTGGTCGCCGGCGACGGGCTGAGGTACAGCAGCTGGAGGGCCGAACGCGAGAGGATGCACGCACGCTGCCTACTGAACTCCATGAAGAAATCCTGACACCACAGTACAACCATGTTTATTTCCGTTTTATTTTATAACTAGCTTTCTTTCAGCGGCTTCGCCCACGTGCTCCCTAGGGAACTGTTTATTTGGATATCAATTTATATTATGATGCGGCAATAATTACAATGACAAATTGAATAGTAAACAATAGTTACTGTGGTGAGGTTTTGATTGCCTATATTATTCATCTCTTTATTTGCTGTTTTTCGGGATAAAATATAGCCTATGCTCATCGCATATTATGCAACCTCCCATTGATGAAAGAATTTTTAAAATCGGTCTCGTAGTTTCAGAGCCTATTCGATGCAAACAAACATTCAAACAAACAAACAATCAAATATTTCCTCTTTATAACATTAGTATAGATAATAATACATATAGTAGCTCGGTGGTGTAGTGGATAAGCGCCGCAGCCGCGATCATTATTGTTCAGATACTTTTAAAAAAAATCAGTCATCAATCAGTCACGGTGGGTGATCAAAATATTATTACTATGACCTACTCCGTACTTCAGAAGCCATATTAAGCCGTTGGTCCCGGCTTCATTTGCAGTTGTTTATACCCTCCAATCTGTATTAGGCCAGCATGGAGGGTCACCTTAGAGAGGCCCATCCTCCTTAACTATAAAGAAGGCCTAAGCCCGGGGGACGTAAAGAGGCTAATGATGATAATAATAAATTCAATTTATTTTCCTCACAAATACAGTAAATACACTCACAAATATATTAAATGAAACAGCTTTAAATTAAAAAACATGACTGCTTGTCGACTTTTGTCAGAAACTGGTGACCCGTATGTGTGATAATCATCAATTATATCTGGGTGTACCACAGCTTGAATTGCATAAAACAATCTCTCCAATGAAGAGCAAATTATTAGCTTCCACAGATGACTTTGATTTTAAACCTTCTTCCCAATATCTATATGGTGAGAACTTTCAAACTACACAACGGATTGAAATGAGCAACAGAAGGTTACCTCTGTCAGTCTGTATATAAAAAACATACAACGCCATGGAACACATAACCTTCTCCTTTTCGATTTTGAAGCCGGTTAAAAAGGCTGTTTTTAAATTCAAACATAGATCAATCGTAAATATGAAGCGACCCTCCGATAACCCTGTATAAAAAAAACACTTCAAGAACAAAACATCATAAAATTACCAGGGCAGTGTGAAAGTTTGCGCATGACGTGATCTTCCACGCGTGTCTAAGCCTTGTAACAAGCTCGTCAAAATACTGCAACGCCTCGGCCCGCGGCTTGATGCGAGTGTACCGCGGGAAAGTCGGCGGTAACAGACGTTGGTTGATCATCGGCTCGAAACCCATTGGGTTAGGGGAATCGGCTGCAAAATAAATTCACGTTAAAAAAAGTTTTTAGTAAAGCCACTAAAAACTTTTTCTTCAATCACCATATCTAAGAAAATGTTTTGAAAATAGATTACATCGAATAGAAAAAATGCCATTTTAGAATTGAGTACCCAAAGGGTATAACGGGAACCCTATTACTAAGACTTTGCTGTCAGTCTGTTACCAGGCTGTATCTAATGAGTCGTGAAAGTAAGACAGTTTAAATTTTCTCAGATGATAAATTTCTGTTGCCACTTCAAAACAAATACTTTAAACCGGAATAAAACTGTACTAACACGTAACATGTAATTTATATCAATATCTGTTTTTTGACTGTGAGTCTTATCTCGTTTTATTGAGATACAATTCGATGATTTTTCCAACTAAAGAAACCCTTACCCTTAGCAAGATTTTTTTTAAATCTAACAGACTCCTAAACTTATATTAGAAATAGACAAGAGAAAAGTTTATAGATCATATACATACAATTTTCCACAGGCTGTGTCCCTTTCCCTGATGTCTTAATAATGACCTTAATCATTTCAGAGCATCCATTTAGTAGAGCAACGCAATCCGCCCCAGAGGTAGAATCTCTCTTTGTGATCAAAAGGAGAGCTTGATAGAACATCCTGGTAAACCTTATCCTGGCAGCCAAAGCAGACCAAAGATTACTGGACTGGAAACAAAAAAAATATGTTTTCGCAACGAAATACTGTGCAGATACTTTTTTCTTCGACGTCCGACATGACATATTACAGATTTTTTTGGAAATGAAGAGTGTCCAACGCTATAATCCCTGCAAATTGCTAATTTTGGTGACGTAATCGTGTTCTACTATCAGTACCGACGATAACAATTATGAAGGTGGGTTGTGTTGAGATCGCACACAATTGTTCTTATATTTTTGTTGTTATCAATTGTTATTGTTTTGTTGTTACTTGTTATGATCGACTAAAATATCTCTGGTTATCTGGTCATTGTGTTATTACAAAGTAAATGTTAATAACATTTTCTTTTTTTTTCATGTATTTCAATATTAACAAATAAATTGGCCTTATTCAAAAATTCTTTCTTTTTTCAATAAATTGACAAAAATTTAAGTTAATAAATAATTATAAAAATATTTTGGGGATTATTCATAAATAATTCAATTATTAATAACAAAATAATCTATTGACTATTATGCGATCGATACATTCTATTATCAAATGTCGTAATACAGGTGTTATTTAGACAGACTGTCCATTCAGGCAGACTGGGCAATCGCCTAGGGCACTCGTATTTCGGAGGCGGCATGGCACGGCAAACAGATTATATTTGTTTTAATTGTTTAACACTTAAAAACACAGTACATACTTTTTATTTTGATCTTACAACATTTTCAGACCAGTAGTACCTAAGGAGTTTCTTTTGTCATTGGAAAAATTACACTCTTTAACCGGCGTTTTTTTAATGCCTAATGATTTTTAGTGACCGTCGTTCCAGTGTCTTAACCTAGGACGCTAAATTCCAGTTTTTGCCTAGGGCACCAAGTTTCATTGTTTTTTCTAGGGCGCCAAGTTCTAGTGATTGGCCTAGACCACCATATTTCAGTGGGCCAGTGCTGACTGTCAGGCAGGCATAAAGAGATAATAAAAAAGTTATTTACGTCATCCTCAACACTCCTGGTCTTTTTATTAAGTTCTTCCTCTTGTTCTCTCAGCATCGCTACACACTTTTGCTCAGTGACTTCAAGAGCAGCTTCATATGTGCTGCCTGTCTGTGGGTTCGAGCCAAGACGATAACCATACCCCATTGGTTGGAAATCTTCTTCTTCAAAAACCTGGGCCCTATAACAATAAATAAAAAAAAGTAAAAGTAATAAGAACTTAATATAAGAAAAAATAGTATTCAGCACACTCTACTATGATATAAATCATACGGTCAGTTGCTGAAACGTCCATTAAGGTTTAATGATGCCTTTAAGCTCTAATGAATGTCAAATATGTATGGATAAACTCGCTATAAACTACTGAAAATTTTAATGGACGTTTGTGCAACTGGCTGATGGTCACTAATTTTAACCTAAGGCCAAGTTCAGATGACAGGCGTTAAGCAACTACACACATTTTGTTCCGACCGTCCAGATGCTAATGCGCGTTTAATAAAGTGCGCGTTGAACGCTGCCCTAGCGCTCGACTGTTGTAAACGCGCGTCAACGCGCGCTTTGAGACCATTGTTTAATACAGTAGGGCCTTTATCACTCGGACTCGATATCTAAAAATTTGCAGCCTGTGGGTTTACTAGAAGTACCTTAGAGTTTTGATGATTTATGAGTCAGTCAGTGACAACTTTGAAATGCAATAATTCTTAAAGAACTTGTTCAAATTTAATGTAATTTAGAAATGTTCCTCATAGTGAGATGCCCTCTTTGTCACTGAAAATTTAGGGTTATTATTTACTCCACAACAAAGTTACAGGGGATCAAAATGGCCCAAAAAGCCCAAATGGCTTCAAGAAAAGGATGGTACGACTATGCCCTTTATATATATTTGCTCAACTTGGCGGGAGCACTTTCGTGCCACCAGATTTCTTTGTTAGGACATTCTACTAATAACTTTGAGACACAGGAAAAAAATGTGCATTATAGCCAGCATATGTTATATTTAATACTATGAAATGTTTATCTAAATGGCCTGTAAAAATCTTTCTATGTTTGATTGACATGTAAATGTATTCTGATTTTAACGAGCTATGAAATAATATTTTACTCTTAATAAGCCCGTAAAACATATTTGTATAAACCACTTACTTGTTAATGCAATCCCTAATGCAGTCAAGAAGTTTATAAACGGCAATACAATAAGCTTTCAAAGTTTTATTTATGATCGAGTGGGGCTGGTGCAGATAAAGGTTAGTGAAAACAGTCTGCGCAAGCGAGTGCCCTTCTAACCAAGACACAATGCAAGCCATTGTTGCATCAATAATGCCAATTAATTCACTAGGATCTAGGTCATCTATTTTCAATTTGCCAGCCTGAAAAATAAATCTACATAAAAACAAACATTTATGTAATTCGTAAGTTATTTTAATTATTACAAGGCTTTTGCTAAAACTAAGATTTCAACATTGACCAATACCAGTGTCGGCAAAGACTGGTATTGCAAGCCTATATATATATCATTAGTGTCCATCATGGTGTATTTAACTTAGAAAAACAACACCATAGTAAATATTTAAAATTAGTCATATAAAAAAACAGAATCATATGACATAATATTATCAAGTCATTATCATCTATGTATTTATTTTTTAATTGTATTATATAGGTATGTTACCCATAATCTGTATAATACAGTATTCTATACAAAAAGTATTGTACAGAAAACAATATGATTTCTAGAAAAAAAAAACTTTAAAAACAAAATACAATATTCACCGCTACTGCCTGTTGGAAATTCAATGGTTTTGGATTTCCTCGATTACATAACATTCCAGCATCCATTTTTGGATCCATCATCTCAATGGCTGACATGGCCTCAAACAACCCAAACAAATGTCCATCATGCAAAAGCTCACCTAGCTGTAGGTCTGTAAGAAACATTAAAATTAAGATAAAAATATGTTAATGATTGTTTTTTAATCTATAACTATTCTCACTGTCTCTTTTTTGTCTATCATTTGTAATAGTGCATATGTTATAGACCAGGTGATTAATGTGGGAAATATCTATAATGTGAATAATGTCCAGCTCAATCAGGCTAAGAGTGATTAATTTCTATCTAAACTTCCTTATTCTTCCCAGTCATTATGATATTGCTAAATGACAATTGGGCAATCTGATATTAACACTAAATTTGACATCGTGTAGGGAGGGCAGAACGCATGGCACGGTTTGACCAGGTTTCCAATTACCATTTCACCTATATTTCACTTACAAACAAATAACAATTAGCAAATTTTTGTATGACAGCATTTCATTCAGTAGAATTATTGTTAAGCTGATTAATATAATGACAAAAAACATTTGAGATATTTATTGTTTGTCCTATTTTTCACTAGACTCACAAGTATTAGATGAATTACATTTACTGAATGAATCAGTTTCCTTTTCATACATTGATATTTTGTCATTTTTCCTCTGAGAAACAGATTTGTGTTCAAGAATTTTATAATTTGTATAATAACAGAAACATATAGGTTAGATGAAGTTAGTGTATGAAAAACAACAAATTGCTTTTGTAATAGCAACAGTTATGTTAGTTTAGGTCACATTAATGGTGACATTAGGTGTGACAAGTGAAGTGAAGAGAAATGTGTTAGGTTAAGTGTGAGCAAATTAGAATTGACTTAACTAAATACAACATTTGGTAAACAATAAACAACTTTGTGAAAATAATGCTGACTAAAACATTTTGCTATTTGAAAGTAGGCATTATGATACTGTAGTTATAAAAAGTACACCAAATATTCAGTTGGTAATGGTGAGGATGGGAAATAAAACAAAACTAATTAAAAATGTTTGTATTTGATTTGTCAGTCGATTTGATTATTTGAATAATTATTATAAAATTGCTCTTTCACATTGGGCCTTTCTTATAATGACTGGGCATTTTGTATAATGCCTAATTTTTCATTTGGTCCATAACACATACACCTAATATTAAAATATATCCAACTTTAAATGGAAGCAACATAAATGAATAACTACGTATCTGTATCATAACGGCAGGATTTTACCTTGGATATGTTTGAAAAAATCTGTTGTTATATCAACCCAGTTATAAGTGACTTCTGGTGAAACTGTCATTGACTCCATTGTCCTGAATCAACAATTATTTAAAAAATATTTGAATAATTGTAATTTATATTTACTTAAATTACACTTACACCTCTACAGTTTTAGGGCCCAAATTATTTCATAATCATATAATTACAATTACCACCATGCCAATTGTGAGTCATGCATTTAAGCAGTTTTTTATTGGTAAATTCTCAAAAAAATACTTCTTTTTATTATAAATCATTCATTATAGTTGAAAGAGAATATTGTCACTCTAAATTTTCATACATATAAATTAAACACCTTACTACTCTCACCTTTCAAAATATATTCTTATTTATTTATAAAAAGAGTTAACAGTTTTCTTCTACTTCTCACTAATATTTACAAAGATCAAAGTATAAGGGTCTTCATCTAATACCTTTAAACATGCAATTCTTGTGTATATGTATTTAATCTGAATCTCATGAATGGTTCCAATTATTTTCATAAAATTTTGTATGCAGGGGTTTCAATCTAGCTAGTTTTCGTTTACCAAAAAGTCTTAGTGCATTAAAGATTTGGCTATGAAAAATAATATATATAATACTTTCAGATTAGAAGAATAAATAGGTACCCATTATGCATCGTGCTTCAAATAAAACTAATGACAAAAATCTTCATAAGAGCATCTATTTATAACGTACGCAATTTGTACTAATGCCCTTTAACCAAAAGTAAGAATGAGGGTATTTCTTCTCAATATAAATGTTATTATAAAGCATGCATCTTTACTAACCCGTCACCATCGTAATAATCATCGTTATCACCCATAGTTATTGGATTTTCTGTAAATACCAAAATAATTATTCATTTACCATTTACTCAATAACCAATTTGTTATTTATTGCATATCTAATAAAATGAAAAACTGAAATTCAGAAAACGAAGCGGGCAAAAGAATATAAATTTTATTGACATTAGGATTTTGATCATTTGACATTGGGCTTAAAAAAACGATATGTCAGAAATTCGATATTTGAACATAATTAATCGATACCTATCGATGATATTTTTAATCTCCTATAAAAACCGTTGAAATAGGAAAACTGTAATTCAGAAAATGAAGCTAGAATAGAATTTTACTAACATTTTACTATTGACATTATTAAAGCATACAATTGACATATTAGCCTTATGCAAAAAATAACGTAATATCAGATTATCGATATTAAAAAATTGCAACTATATGTATCGATTATTAACTAATATTTTGTTAAGCTCATATAGAAACTATTGAAAAACACTAGTTCTCTATGGCTTTCTATGATCTTGGACTGTACATTGTTTTCTCGATGGTGTTGTTCGGCTTGAAGGATTAAAGATAGCAATAAGTACAGAAATTATTTGATGTCTACTGGATAAATATTCGCTTAACAATTAAAGAATTTACACTTATTGAACAGTTCAATATTTTAATAATATATTTTATTTTTAAGTATCAAGTTCAGTCAAATAGTTGGTAAGTATCGATACTTAACATTGCTTCGCCGTTTTAGGAACACTTCTAATTTTGCTCATCTGATAACAAGGACAACATTCAGAAGCTTGTCTTCGGGGCATTTCTAAACATCATGTCACATTTGTCCTAAGATTTAGAGATTTTTGTTATCGCTTGTTTGCGTTCTTCACTATCGCGCACTACCTTTCTTTAAGTTTTTCGATAATTAACTCAATGAACGTACCAATTTTCTTGTTGAATTTCGTTATCCTTGAAGGTGAAGGTTTGTGCACTACACTGAATTTTCAGGTCCGCTGGTCCAACTTTTTCCGGTCCGGAATGACATGCAAAAACCCGGATGAGTAGCTTGTTCACTTGTTCGTTTTTTCCGGATCGGGGTGGCGCAGTTTAGGGTAGCTCTCTTTGAAGTTGCACGTCACTTACGCTAGGTTCAATGAGATTTTTGGAACGTCGGTAATTGCTTGCTTTATTACTCTACATACGTGCGAAGACGTAGAAGATAGAAATAATATTGGGTTCATCCCCTTATAAGTGAAAGGTACCTAAATAATCACCTGACAGGGTCATTTTACATAAAACATAATAAATTGAAAAGGCATTTTTTTTACTACTATCGGATGTCCAAACTTATACCCTTACTAATTTAGGAACAGCATTACTCATATACAACAGCTAAAAATATCTGTGACATTTGAATAAAATTACTGATAATGATACTGATACTCATCAAATATATTAGCAATTTTATCATGAGATTTGATGGTCGTGTTATTAAAGTTAAGTGTCAGAATATCTTCACGTATTTGCTCCTTACCGGTTTCACGGTTTATTATATTCCAAGTTGTTTTGACTTTGTTATTGGAATTCTTTATTTTCTCTTTAATAAAATTTGACTTTGCCGCAAAAGACACCCTTTTTAATACTTTCGAATAATTCTTTACGTAATCAATGAAATTTTGATTATGGTTATATTTTCTTAAAGCGTATAATTCATAAAGTTTGTTTCTACTTTTATAAATACCTGTTGTAGCCCAGTCACAGAACTGTAACTAACAATTTTTTTTTCTAGAATCTTACTATGGACATTATTAAAGCATAAAATTGACATATTGGCCTTATGCAAAAAATAACGTAATATCAGATAATCGATATTAAAAAATTGCAACTATATGTATCGATTATTAACTAATATTTTGTTAAGCTCATATAGAAACTATTGAAAAACACTAGTTCCCTATAGCTTTCTATGATCTTGGACTGTACATTGTTTTCTCGATGATGTTGTTCGGCTCGAAGGATTAAAGATAGCAATAAGTACAGAAATTATTTGATGTCTACTGGATAAATATTCGCTTAACATATAATTCGCTTAATATTCGCTTAACAATAATAAGTTCAATATTTTAATAATATATTTTATTTTTAAGTATCAAGTTCAGTCAAATAGTTGGTAAGTATCGATACTTAACATTGCTTCGCCGTTTTAGGAACACTTCTAATTTTGCTCATCTGATAACAAGGACAACATTCAGAAACTTGTCTTCCGGGCATTTCTAAACATCATGTCACATTTGTCCTAAGATTTAGAGATTTTTGTTGTCGCTTGTTTGCGTTCTTCACTGTCGCGCACTACCTTTCTTTAAGTTTCTCGATAATTAACTCAATGAACATACCAATTTTCTTGTTGAATTTCGTTATCCTTGAAGGTGAAGGTTTGTGCACTACACTGAATTTTCAGGTCCGCTGGTCCAACCTTTTCCGGTCCGGAATGACATGCAAAAACCCGGATAAGTAGCTTGTTCACTTGTTCGTTTTTTCCGGATCGGGGTGGCGCAGTTTAGGGTAGCTGTCTTTGAAGTTGCACGTCACTTACACTAGGTTCAATGAGATTTTTGGAACGTCGGTAATTGCTTGCTTTATTACTCTACATACGTGCGAAGACGTAGAAGATAGAAATAATATTGGATTCATCCCCTTATAAGTGAAAGGTACCTAAATAATCACCTGACAGGGTCATTTTACATAAAACATAATAAATTGAAAAGGCATTTTTTTACTACTATCGGATGTCCAAACTTATACCCTTACTAATTTAGGAACAGCATTATTCATATACAACAGCTAAAAATATCTGTGACATTTGAATAAAATTACTGATAATGTTCTAAGTACTTAATGTTTAAATTTATAATCATGCAGTTTTTCTTCGAAGTTTTGTAAAAACAACTTCAAACGATTACAGACATAGACCAATTGTTGACGCCATTTCGTAAACAAATCAAAATTAGTTCCGTGTAAGCGGAAAATTAATATGCTAAATGGACTTTACAGTGGCATTTAAATCAGCCATCCTATTGTAAGGTTTAAATGTCATAATTTAACTATAATCATTGTAAGATCAGTTGGCTGTATTATATATGGGCATAAATAATTTTGGCCGCGATTTTATATGCGTGGTAAAGCTTCTTTGAGCAGAATTATTTTTGTTTTAGAATACTTCTATTATCAATTACTTATCAATTGCCTAAAAACAAATTTATATATTGACAATTTCCATGCAAACTTTCATCCCCTATTTCCAACTCTTTTTCGCGATAAAGGGTAGCTTTTTCAAGGTTAAGTCTATTTCTGTATCAAATTTCATTAAGATGAGTTCAGTTGTAAAGACGTGGAAGCGTACCAACACTTAAGTTATCGATACTTTTGATTCGATATTGTTTTGGGATCGATACTTTTAATATGATTCTAGAATCTAGCAAAGCATCGATACTAGAACCATACGATTAGCAAATTAGAATTATATCAAGTTTGCCAAGGTATATGAAGTGATATTTACCAACTATATTAAATCATCATACTAAATATCGAATTATATACTCTACAATAAATATTGATTATATCGCTGAAATAAATATCGATTGTTCATAAATCTATTATTTTTTTCCCAAGCCTACTCCGCAGGCTCATGAATTTTCCGGATCGCGGACACAGCAGTGCAGTATTGTAAATTATACAATGCGATATTTTATATGATGATTTAATATAGTTGGTAAATATCTCCACATATGCCTTAGCAAACTCCATTTAGTTCTAATTTGATCATCATATGGTTCTAGTCCTGATTCTAGTATGGGAAATTTCCACTTTTGAACTATCGCGCTGTATATCACTGTGTATCGTTGCGCTTTGTATGGGACATGGAATCTGGACATTATATAGGTAATCAAAGTGCCCAAATTGACACGATTTTACAACAAGTGTTTACTCCCAAAAATAGTCTACTCTCGAAAAGCTAGATCGACGACTAACAATTTTTTTTTTTTCTAGAATCTAGCAAAGTATCGATCCCAAAATAATATCTAATCAAAATTATCAATAACTTAAGGTAAGCTAAATAAGTGTTGATACGCTTTCACGCCTAAACAACTGAACCCGTCGTAATGAAATTTGATACAGAAATAGATTTAATCTTGAGAAAGAACATAGGCTACCATTTATCGCGAAAAGAGGTGGAAATAGTGGATGAAAGTTTGCATGGAAATTTGTCAATATCAAAATTTGTTTTTAGGCAGTTGATAAGTATAAATAAATATTTGATAACAGAAGTTATAATAAAGAATAAACAGAAGATTAACAGAAGTAATTTAGTGACACTCGATATCTTTTGAGTATTTATTGTAATAAAATTTGAAATGACTGTCTGTGTCATAAATAAATTTAAAAAAAAGAAGTATTCTAAAAGAAAAATAATTCTGCTCAAAGAAACTATACCACGCGTATAAAATTATACCTATATATTATATAATACAGTCAACTGACCTTACAATGATTATTGTTATATCATGACATTTAAAACTTACAATAGGATGGCTAATTTAAATGCCATCGTAAAGTTGATTTTGCTTAAATTTATTCTCCGCTGAAACGACACTAATTTCGATTTGTTTATGAAATGGCGCCAACGATTGGTCTATCTCTGTAATCGCTTAAAGTTGTTTTTACAAACTTCGAAAAAAAATAGCACATTTATAAATTTAAACAGTAAGTACTAGAACATTATCAGTAATTTTATTCTAATGTCACAGATATTTTAGCTATTGTATGTGAATAATGCTGTTCCTAAAATTAGTAAGGGTATAAGTTTTTACATCTGATAGTAGTCATTCGATAGTAGTAAAAAAATGCTTTCGTCTTGCCTCAATTTATTGCGGTTTATGTAAAATGATCAGATAATTATTTAGGTACCTCTCTACGTCTTCGCATGAGAGTGAAAAAGCAAGTAATTACCGACGTTCCAAAAATCTCATCATACCTAACGTAAGTGACGTGTAGCTTCAAAGAGAGCTGCCCTACACTGCGCCGCTCCGATCCGGAAAAAACGGACAAGTGCACAAGCTACTCATCCGGGTTTTTCATGTCATTCCGGACCAGACAATAGGGCTGCTTTTTTCTCCCTGTTTTATTTCATACAGAGCGTCAAGATTGAAAAATGACTTCATTAAAATTTGAAGTCACTTTCCATTACAATATTACACAATATTAGAGTAAAACAGTATTTTCGTCAATCCGATCACATTTGTAGCCAAAGAAGCTCACCGATTAACAATTTAATATATATGAAAAATGAGCCATATTTAACTCCAAGCAGTTTTGTCGTTTAAATATTCATTAACAGTATAGGTAATATCCTTTACTGAGTAGACAATTCTTAATATGGATTTTAAACTTAGGTAATGGTAAATTTAAAATTTCCATAGGAATTTTGTTATAGTAGTGTACACCTTGACCCATAAATGACGATAGAACCTTCTTTAGCCTGCATGATGGCAAAACAAGTTTATCTTTGTTTCTAGTATTAAAATTGTGTACATGACTATGTTTAATATAATTGTTAATATTGTTTCTAACATAAAGTACACAATTGTATATGAATTGGGATGCCACTGTTAATATCCCAATTTCTTTGAATTTATCTCTAAGTTACGTTCTTGAACCCAATTGATAAATGGCCCTTACTGCTCTTTTTTGTAAAATAAATATAGACTCTATATCTGCAGCCATACCCCACATCAGAATGCCATATGACATAACGCTATGGAAATAACTAAAGTATACTGTCCTAGCGGTATCGGTAGCGTTCGTTTTCCTGCCAATAATGAAATGTGAGGATGCCATTGCAATTTAGAATCCAGCGTTACACTTAAGACGATTGTTGAATCAACCAACTCAAGCTTTTCATCATTAAGTTTAATTTCTGTAAGTTCAGTTTTTCAATTAGGTAACATAAACTTTATACTTTTCGTTTTTTTTAGCATTTAACTGGAGATTATTAACAGTAAACCAGGTCATAATCTGTGATAGAGCATTGTTTACATCGTCAAAATTATTTTTACATCTATCAATATTAAATATTAAAGAAGTATCATCTGCAAACAATACTATATCGCATAAAGTTTCGGCAAAAAATGGCAAATCATTTATGTAAGTTAGAAACAGAAAGGGACCCAGAATAGATCCCTGGGGAACTCCCATTTTTACTTGTGATCCAGATGATCTCACACCGTTAATATCGATAGTTTGAGTTCTGCAACTGAGGTACGACAATATTAGTTGTAGGGCGGAGTCTTTGATACCATAGTAATTTAGCTTCGTTACTAGTGTTCGATGCTCAACGCAATCAAATGCTTTGGATAAGTCACAAAATACTCCAAGAGCATTCTGTGACGCCTGCCAAGCTCTGAATATATGTCTAAGAAGTGCTATACCAGCATCAGCAGTAGAGCGACCTTTTGTGAAACCATATTGTTTAGTATGCAGTAATTAATTTACATTAAAATAAGACAATAACTGTTCAAGAATTATTTTTTCAAAGATTTTACTTAACGTCGGTAATATTGATATAGGTCTATAATTACTATGGTCTTCCCTATTTCCGGATTTAAAAAGAGGTATAACTTTGCTTAGCTTCATAAGATTTGGAAAAATTCCTTCATCTATACAAAGATTAAATATATCAGCCAAGTAAGGGGCTATAACATGAACTATACTTTTAATAATATTAAGAGATATGCCCCATAAATCACATGTGTTTTTTATTTTCAGACAATTAAAAGTTTTAATTATATCTAAGAAACTAATATATTTGAATTTAAACTGGCTGTCTACCTTAGGCACGTATTTTTCTAAAATAGCCTTTGCGGCAGTTGGTGAAGAATTTAAACGAGATGTTGTTTCAATTGGTATGTTTAAAAAATACTCATCAAATATATTAGCAATTTTATCATGAGATTTGATGGTCGTGTTATTAAAGTTAAGTGTCAGAATATCTTCACGTATTTGCTCCTTACCGGTTTCACGGTTTATTATATTCCAAGTTGTTTTGACTTTGTTATTGGAATTCTTTATTTTCTCTTTAATAAAATTTGACTTTGCCGCAAAAGACATCCTTTTTAATACTTTCGAATAATTCTTTACGTAATCAATGAAATTTTGATTATGGTTATATTTTCTTAAAGCGTATAATTCATAAAGTTTGTTTCTACTTTTATAAATACCTGTTGTAGCCCAGTCACAGAACTGTAACTAACAATTTTTTTTTCTAGAATCTAGCAAAGTATCGATCCCAATACAATATCTAATAAAAATTATCAATAACTTAAGGTAAGACACACTATAACTATCAGGTGCTTGTTGCTTTTTTTTTATTTATAATAAAATACACCAACAGCAAAACTCATAAAACATTCACAATATATAAAATTTAAATATATTCGCCAATTATAGGTATATACAGCATTTGCAATATCTACGCACTACGACTACGACTACGCACCATTAAACTAAATTTTTTCGTTTTACACTCAAACGTCAATGCTTGGAACCGGCCTTCAAAATTTAAAAGTAGGAGGTTATATGTTCGACGGCGATGTATGATTTTCAAAATTCTTATTTTATTCGACAGCTTAGTGGAGCTAACTTTATTCTATTTTTTATTAAGTTTTTTTTGAAATCTACTTAGCTAATAGAAAATGCATGAATATAGAAAATATTATAACAAAAAAGTGCACTGTTCAAGTTCTCTTGCTTTAATCACAGATTTCTTTTCCTGTCTTACGAGTAATGTAAAAATATTTTTGATTCACAACTAATAACGATTAGAATTTAGTATTAAGTGAGATGTCTTTGTTTCTTCATAAACTACAAAGCGTTTTCTAGAAATTCTTGGTCGTCTTGTGCCATAGGATACAATGAAGTATTGTTTCAATCTAAACTTATTTTACGACTCTAATTTGTTAATGTATAATCATTTACGTTAAAACTATTCACTTTAATAATATTACATATTTAATAAAAGAGATCATTGAATATAAACAACAATAATAGTATATTAAATATATTTAATACTGTTGTTAAACATTGGCGTATTTGGTAACGATATTTCAGTAACTGAATCAAATATGTCGCTATCCTGTTGGATCAATTCTGCCGTAGTAGATTCCGATTGCGGCTGGTTACCTGGCTTTGATAAGCTGATTCCATTAAATCCCATGTCCATACAATCGAAGTGTAAGATCTGAAAAAATAATGATTAACAGTGAGTTTGATATAATGCAAATTTAATCTTTTAATAAAGTAGGATAGTCATACGATGTTGCGACACCAGCAAACACGCAGTAACCCGCGAAACGAAAATTGATCTTCAGAGCAGAATAACAACCAAGCTTAAAAGCCGAATATATCCGTTTGCAGCTTAGATCTTAAATAACAGGTAGTAAACGTGATAATAGCATGCAAACATAAAATAAGGGTGTGATCGACTAACTCTCTAGCCATACGACATCTTATTGTTAGCGAATATTATGACGATATTTCGATCCATTTTTTTATACTTTGACATGTTTTTTGATGGATAAATTTGGGTTATATGTCTATGTTTGAAACACTGCTATCAAATCCATATTTATTATTATTTATCGTTCGTAGTTTGTGGTGGCGTAGTAGATAAACGCCTCAGCCCGCGATCGTTGTTGTTAAGCATCTTTCGCCGGTCGGTCACAGGATGGGTGACCAAAAATTATTATCTCGACCTACTCCGTGCTTCGGAAGGAATGTCCTTCCCTTAAGTAAAACATGTAACTTTTGGCTATAGAAAACTTTCAGATCTTACCAAAACAGGAGCTTTGTCGACTCTTGTATCCATGTCCATGCAAACATGCAGCTTCTGCTGAACAACCGTAATGTCGAACAGACGTATACAGAGATCTACCAGACCCGGTGGCAGATACGGAACTGGGATAGGCACGCAAAATGGAGGCGGGTTGCGAGCTGCAAATAAAACATTTTCTTTGTTTTTAGAAGCAACATTCTAAGTTTAGAAGCTTATATCAAAAAAAAATCAATATATTGATTTTTCCTATAATAAAAGAATGTCACTGCTAGAAGAAATGGATTAAAAAAATTGAGGAAATTTGATTAATTCAAAATAACAATCACATATGCTAGTCATTTCTTGAATTTTTTTTAAAATAGAAGTGCAAATTTTTTTTTTTTTTTATTGTAATCTAATAAGCAGTTTTCCTGTTATAATAAAACAAAATATGGTTTTCACCAGATATCACCTAAATATTTAGATAAGATGGGTTGTATTTCACGTATTTCAGATAAAAAACAAAAGATTGCGTATTTTAAATTCATTCAAAATCCGAAAGGAGGATTTTCTATGTTCAAGGAGTATGTTTATTTTTTTATGAAAGTAGGTATGTTAATCGATTTCTTCTTGAATTTCCCCGCGATATTTCCTGCATAAATTATAGTCTATGTCCAACGCGTATTATGTAGCTTCCCGTATATGCTAAATCGGTCCATTAATTTCGGAGGTTATTAAATCTTTATATTTGAATATAGAATTATTGGAAAGATTTTGTCGAGCAAGTAAACAAAATCTTCTTTTCTAAGACGAAATAAATGATAAACTAAAAAAATATAATGTTGAATATTAAAGTAAAGCATGAAATGAAAACTAAAAAAAAATAGAACCACCTTCAAACTTTAAAAAAGTGACAATTAACAAATAATACTTATCTGAAAAGCGACTTTTTTAAAGAAATGCTATTGAAATCAGGCGCCTATCATTTAATCTATTACCTATTTTCATGATTATGTATCTTTAGAGATGAGTATTATTTATCACTTTTTTTTTAATTTGAAGTCGGTTCTATTTTGTTTTAGTTTTTTTTTCAAAGTCAGAAGCGCCAATTTTTAACTCTTAGTAAATTACCGATCTATAATACTATGTATCTGACTTTAAATTTATTTATTTTCTTTGATTACTCCATACGAATGAAAAATATTATATAATAATGTAACAGGTTAAAGATTGACTACGTAACTTTGTCATTTTTTTTATTATCTGCGTATATTTGATATATAAAACATACAGCTTACCTGAAAAAGTATTTCTATAAACGCTGTCGTTGTTCATTTTTACTTCTAAATCAATTGTTGATTCTGTCGGTTCGTAGGTCAAAAGCGCACATGCTGGAGAAAAAAATAAACAGTTAAGTCAGTAAACAGATAAGTCAATAAACAGTTAAGTAATCGAACACGGCGCTTGTTCATTTATTTGTGTGTTAATAATAATAGTTGATACGATAATTTGGTGTAAAATAAATAGACACTTAGATGTCTCTTCGCACATCATAGTTAAAACAAAGTCGCTTTCCGTCTGTCTATCCCTATGAATGCTTTAAAACTACTCAACCGATTTTGAGCTGCTGACGGATAGCTTACATCTAATGTTGCAAATTCTTATTTATGGACATCATACGCATCATTGGACCAAAACTTCAGGGGGCGTACTAACGGCTACTTTGTAATATTAATTACCAAAACATATTCTTGTTATTAATCACTGAGAAAAAATAATACAAGGTTAGCTTACTTTTCCGATCAAAATTGAAGGCGTTTATTCGTATTCCTGTGCAGCACGCACATTGCAGACCATCACATTTGCACTTGCCTCCCGTGAATGGAAGTCGAAGAAGCCAGCCTGGTTTATACCAGGGCCGAGGCATTAAGTCCCTTATCGTCTGTAAGCACAGTTCAGTCCGTTAAAACTCAATATCAACTCTATATTTTGCTACAGTTATAATTATAAGTAACTGTGGCAAAATATCTTTATAATGTGCTTTGCGATTAACTAGGTGTGTAGAGATATAGATAAACTGATTTTATTTTGATATTTTTTAAGAGAATAGTTAATTTTAAAACAACTTCATCAGTGGTTTGTTTATTATACACCTCACTAAGTATAACGATGTTATTATCTTAAAATAGGTAATTTAAGTTTTGCTTTAAATTTATACTTGCTTTTTTTACCAAAACTTACCTGATTCGTATCGATGTCGTAGTAAACTGAGAAATCTTCAACGTCCATTGCATTATCGTTTTTCACATTTTTCCTTTTACTAAACGTAGATCCTAAAACAAAAGCCGGTAATACAAAGCATTCATATATTTTTAACATACGAAAAACCGTTAAATAAACATGAGAGATAATAAATACCTGCGGTAACGAACACATAGCTGGCCACAAACAATAACGTAACAGTTTTCAGTTTCATTTCGACTAAATTTTAGGCTTCTACCTCAGGGGACACCATTCACACGATTGCACCTCGTTAACCCACGTAACACTGGTAAAGGTACACTTCGAACATTTGTATGCAAGTTATGCGATGCGCGAACGCAACTGAATTGCGGTACTTTCTAGAGAAACTCTTGCGCATCGGATCGACGATTGTCAATAATAGCCAGCTTTATTTACACCGGGCATAGTTTATACTATTTATAATATGAAAGTGAGCATGATGGTTTAAAAGAATGCACAAGAATTGAATTTAACATAATTATCTAACCAACAAAAAATACACATGATACTGTGTACATAACTATAAATGAAATAAAACAAAAAAATAACAAAACAATTTATTTCAACAAAATGAAATACAATAAATAGCAATTTAAAGTAAAAGAAATTAAAAGAAAATATTTCGGTGAAACAAAAAAGATATTATCGATCAAATATATCAAACAGTGACCTTACTAAATTCTCGTCGTAGTCTTCAATGTCATCTTCACCTGCATCGATGACAGCATCCACACCTCCCTGAGGATTGGCTACTGGTAGTCCACCCCCTTCATCTGGTTTTACCATAACGATACCATTCGCACCCATTCTAGATTGGGAATATTAACAATACAATAAGAACATAATTCATAAAAATACATTACAATAATGCTATAATGAACCTTCATTTTCAACTTAATTAATATATTATCAATTACTTACCTTAAGCAGTCGAAAGCCATATCAAACAGCTGTACTGATCGCCATTGCCCATTCATTGCTAAGCAAAAGTGAAAGTTCCTTCCTGGAAAAAACACATTGTAGAACTTCGCACACACTTTCAAGTTCGGCATCCGAGGTGGACTAATGCATATTGGCTTAGGATTCTTTCCTGAAACAAGATGTTGTTGTTAACGGCCAACCAATTTATTTATATCTAAATCACATAAAAATTTAATAGAAATGTTTTACCTGACATTGAATTTTCATATAATATCCTGTCATTTATAGACATGGCAACATCAAAAGCAAAATCACCAGGATGGTATGTGATCTTCATACATGCTTTTTGATTTAGCAAATCTAATATTAAGCCCGTACAGCATTTGCATACTCCTAAACTACACGTACAAGGTCCTGCAGAAGTCGTCGGGGCCAATGTGGAATTTTCATTGGAGTCTTTGTTTTTCCTGGCATATTGTTCAACGGCAAATATTTTTTTCCCTTTAAATTTCTCTAATAATGCAAGCTCTTGATCAGGTATTTCAAGTTCATCTATCTGATTAATCATCTGTCTGAGTGACGTCTCATTTTTGATATATTGTTGTTCTGTAATGTAGCGTTAAATAATTGAATTATAAACTTGTACTAAGTACTTTATTTATAAATAGAGAACACGGAAAAAAGCACTTACCTCTTTTATAGCCCAAAGCCACCGTAACACACGTTATTAAAACAAAATTTATGCACCGATGCATGTTATGTGAAGCTTATTTTAAGTGAAGACAGTCGCACGACAGTCGCCTGGATAATGGAGTCATTCCAATTCGCTTGCACAGATGTGAACCGGTTCGGTGGTGGCAGTCAAACATATTTATAATATGCAAAACACTTTCACGCCATTCATTTAATAACCCAATAAAGACAAACTTCCTTCATATACTAAATTAAATAGTTTATAATATGTCGATAAATAAAAGTTGTTAAAATGTGTGAAATATAATTAACTTTAAATTAAATACTTAAATTATTATTTTAAAAAGTAAATATTTTAAATCTAAATATTTTTAAACTTTAATATTTTCTTCCATCGCCAAAGAAATCACCAACAGCATCCCCTAAATCATCTAGAGGGCCACCACTGTCATCAGATCCACCGCCAAATATTCCACCGTCTCCTCCAAAAACATCTGCTGCATTGTCAAGAAAACCCCCGTCATCGTCGTCATCGTCATTATTTCCGAATAGGCTTACTGGGGCTGGCCCAGAAGAAATAGGTTTCGGTTTCAAACCGGTTTGTACGCCTGATGCTCCGAGCCTATAATCAAATTGTTTACAAATAATGAATGTGCATTGAACATGCACTGTAATTACTTATTTTACGATATGGAAGCAATTGATTATCTACAAGTATAAAACTACTGTCTACTCACCCGAAACACCTGAATGAAGCCGAGTAAATAGGGAAACCAGCGATATCCGCATTAATATCTAAACAAGCGAATGCATTTCTATTTCTTATACGTATATTTGATATTTCGGCACAAACTTCAACGAAGGGGGCTCTTCTAGGGTTGAAACAAATTGGCGGCGGGTCGCTTGCTAAATTAAATACAAAATATTAATAAATAAAATATAAACAGATTATTAATACAATTAGATAGTTACCGAATCATACCTGAAACTCTACGACGTACCACTGTGTTATTATTAAGGCTTAGTCTGACATCGAAAACAAAATCTTCAGGAATGAAAGAGATATTTCCACAAGCTTTAGTTTTAATTCTTTCTAATATTGCTCCAGTGCAACAACCACATTGTCCATCTACACATGAACAAGGGAATCTTATTAATGAACCATTCACTTGTTGTGGTATTGGTGTAGTTACTTCATCTTCAATAGGGCTTTCAGTTATATCTGCTGCGACAGTAGCATTTGTGAGTAATGTTTCCTGCAAAATATCTTGATTGCTGACGGTAGTAGGAGTTTCCGTAACTAAGTCATAATCAACATCGTCGACTTCATTTTCATCGTCCTGTGAAACGTGAATAGGTACTACGATTGTAACGGGTGATTTCAACACAGGCGTTGGCCGAAATGCCCTTCTCCAAAGAGCTCCTGGAACTTGTATATTGAGTACTTCATAGGGCTTATCTTGGTCAAAAAATACTTCATCTATAAAATACAAAACTTTACAATATGTTTAATTTAAGAAATATTTTATTTTTATATAATTTTACTCACCTGAAATAGAGTTACTGCGGATAACAAATTTTATCAACAACAATATTATTATAGCTTTCATGTTTCCACAGATATCCTAGCAACGATCATTAAATTGAGACGAGAGACAGCTACTAGTGACTTTCAAAGTTAAATTGTTTGCTTGCCAAGTTAGCTCCAAGTATTTAACGGTCTACTAACAAACCACATTACTTATTTTAAGTTGACACTTAATGATAAACAAGTTTTAAATTTTAATGCCGCTACAAGTGAAAGTAGCGTCGAAGAATATTGACAATGCAAACTTTCGATACGTGAACTGAATTTTTATAACCCTTTTTGTAATATATACTTATACCAATTCAAACCAACCACCTAAAACAGAAAGATTAACTAATTTTAAATAAATTTCTATGCTTTGTTTTAGATAGTGCATTTGTAATCAGGACAATGCAAATTTATATTTAAACATAAAAGGGGAAACAACATCATAATAAATATCGAAATATCCTGTATAATAAAAAAATATATCCACCCTAATTAATGATCTCAAACAAGCTTTTTAGGTAAATAGGCAAATACTCATAAAAAGTTGATATGTTATTGTATATCATTAATATTGAATTTGTTTACTAGTTACATATGAGATATTTGTTTTTTAATAAAATAACTTGCAAAAACATAAACAGTGCCTCGGTGATTTTATTGCGTAAAAAATACGAAACTCGGAGAGAGAAATATCCATTATCTTTAGAGTTATTTATGTAATGGTTGTTGTTTGTATTAGATTGGGGAAAAAGTCTTTCCGCATTTACTAGTATGCATAAACTTGTAATAAAATCTTTCTGGCTATACCAATTGTGTCTGACTGGTTTCGGTATCATTAAAAAATCCAAATTTTAAAGAAGAAATACTCCGAATTCAAACTAGGAAAATGTATGATTTCATTTGTTTTTCTTACTGTCAAAATGAGTGAATCTAATGAAGAAATTCGATATATTTTAAAATTTTATTATAAAAAAGGTAAAACCTAGTGTAGTTTTTGTGAGAGTACCACAAATTTCAATCACAGTCACTGATAGGTTCTTTGGCGAAGTGAAAAAGGACTTACATTATATGTTAATTTGGAAAGTTGCATATTAAAATATCTGTAAACCAATTTTGGTCAATATCGATCATATTATCTTTACATAAAGAAGCAATGTTTTCTGCCACAAACCTATCCATTAGGCCCTTGTAAGCACGTCCCGTACAACCGATTGATTTGGTTTGGCATAAACAAAATCCACACACAAACGCAAACTCAACTCTTCATCGCCTAGTATATCCAAATATAAAGCAATAAGCAAACGATAAAGCAGTAAACGATGTTTTTCGTCAATTTATATTTTATTTTGTTTGAAATGATGTTTTCTCCATATGTGATTTTATTTTACGTTAAATATCTGAATGTATTGTCTTAAAACAGGGTACTACACCTTTTGAACCCAAATATTCACAACTGCTTGGAATTAATTTTAACTGACCTCATTTAACAATAAATGACGGACTAAAAAGAATGAAAAAGAACACATTTTTCTAAAGTTATTTATTTAATAGTAGAAAGCAAAGGCTTAAAGTAATTTTACTATTTACAGTCAATAAATAAATTAAATATAAGGTAATAAATAGTTAATAAATACCTAAAACTAATTTAACTTAGGCGTCATACTAGGGACCATTCCCCGCGCATCATTTTATTTTGTCTTCTACTATTTCTTTTGTTCTTATTTCCATTATTAGATTTCCGCAGTAAGGAATCCAACAAAAGAATTTCAGTATAATCATCGTCTTCATCCTTATTATTTTTTACTTTCGTGTCTTTATTTCTGTTATGTCGTTTACTTCTTCCAAATAAACCTAATTGATCACCCACCGTTTCACCAATTTCAGATAAATTGAGGACATCTAAATCTTCATAATTAAAGGAGCCACGATGTTTCTTTTTTGGTAATGAAACACCTGAATAAAATTCACCTGTTACGGGAATTGTGTCGAACGTATGACCTCTGGATTCTTCGCCAGCTAAGGCTTCTTTATGTTCCTCGGAATTAGAATCAAGGTCTTGTACAATTTGGATCAAGTCCTCATTTACTTTTTCTTGAGTAGCTTCAGTAGCTGTAGCCGTAGTAGACATTTTAGGTGTAATAGTTTCAATTTTTTCATAAGTCACTTCTTCTTGTTTTTTGGTAGAGGACATTCCTGATTCTTTACCAACATTGGATACTAGTGGTGTTACAGGCATTACTGATAACTGACCAGTGATGTGTGCAAGAGACATCTCGAGACCAGAATCCTCAAAGTTTGTCACACTTTTTGCAGTGGTGGAAGAAAGAGGTTGAACTTTTTGATTAAAAGCTACTATTGGTTCAAATGTTTGATCAGTCTCAACGTTAAAAACTTGCCTACGTTCAGTGCTTGAAATGACAGGAGAATTTGGTACAGGTGTAACAATTGGTATGGTAACTAAAGGAGCTGATGTTGTAGATATAGTTGTTGGAGTTGTCATTTCAGTAATTACAGCCGTTGTTGGACGTCTCGATGGACGTCTCTTTGATGGTCTTCTTGTAGGTCGCCTATTTCCAGGACGAATTTTAACGGTGGTCGAGCGTGTAGATTTTGGTGTTGTCGTTCGGGTACTAGGTTTTCTACTAGGACGTCGTGACGGCTTCGGTCGCCTTGTAGTTGTAGTACTCTGTGCAGGTGCTTGTTTCTTCTTATTCTTATTTGTTTTTTTGGAACCTGAGGAACCAAACAGGTCTCCTAATAAGTCTTCACCTAAAAGACTAAATCCTGTATAGTCCGCACTCTCTACGTCATTAATGGCATCTAATTCAGCTGGAAGAAGAAAATGAATTTATTGATTATATCTATATATAATATACATACTAAGAAACATAAATATTGCGATTCACGTGAAACTAATTTTCATGAATGTTTGTTATTCTCAACTGAATCTCAACTGAATCGAGCATAATATGTAAATAAAATTTATAAAAAGTATTTTATGTATTACACACTAATTATGCCTACCTATGCCTTTTTTCATAGTTAAGAGTCTAATTACGATTTAATTGGATAAATGAAGAAAATAAACTTTTCTACATGTGTGATACAGACTATTTATAGTCCTTTCGCCATTTTAAATTCATAATACAAAGGCTTCAGTTAACTAAGCCATCTCTCTGATATCTTAACTATATTTGCTGCTGTCGAATATTTATCTATCAGTGTCAATGTTTACTAACTTGCATCATCATCATCATCGTCGTCGTCATCGTCGTCGTCATCGTCATCGTCTCCTAATCCGAAATCATCGTCGTCGTCGTCGTCATCATCATCATCACCAGTGTTCTCGCCTTGAGGTACCAATGGGAGCGGATCAGCAGGTTCTGTCGTTACTCCACGGGGGCCAAACTTAAAACAAGATACTCTGACCGCTGCTTCTACAGAGGTCTTCGACTGCAGTTCTAAGCCCAGACATGCGCGGAACTCTTCGCCAGCTCTAGCTATGTTGTAAACTCGCCCGCAGAATTTCGATAGTCCTCCAGGTAATGGTAAACAAACTGGGCTGGGTTTGCGACCTGATGAGAGAAATAGTAATTTTTGCTTATTACTAATAGTAATTCTATTACTGCTAGGGTGTAGGCCTTAACTCTGAATGAAATTGAAAATGGATAATGGGCCCTGATTCACAACTCAGGCCCAGTACGTATTGGTGGATGTTAACAACTACAGATGCAACCGGGACCAACGGTTTACCGTGCCTTCCGAAGCGCAAAGGAGCTCGATATAATAAAAAATTAGGTCACCTATCTCTTGATCGGTTCCTTGTGAAAGTTACCTTACTTCCTTATCACAGACAGAACTTGCTTTTGCCTGAATCATATAAGATGAATAAAATTCATAGAAGTTCGTGGCATTCTTAAATTAATGGTTATTTAATTAATAGTTTTGTTTTAATTTTTAGTTTAATAATATTGTTTTAATTTTAATAATATTGAGAAAAGAACAGGCAATCTATGCTTCGTTTCGTTTCTATCTTTAGTTTCTAAAATTTTCCAATGGGAATTTCGGAATCAAAACAAAGCAAATATTCAGTTAAAGGCCCTGTTACATTTCCACTGTCAGTTTTGGTAATTTTTGGCGTTCTTGATCTCGAAATGAAAAATATACGTATTTAACAATTTTGACTTATCGAAAACCGCAGAATAACTTTTAACTTAGTTGGTAGAGCTTTAATTTTTGTAACTTACACTTAACTTTTTATTTAAACCCAAAATTGTAGAGAGTGATTAACACAAAATTTTTGAGACACTTTTTTGAGCTCCTAGAATAAGTAACTAGTCCAAACAAAATTTAAAAAATAGAATGGTATTTCTTATATAATGATATCGTTTGTAGCAGCCTCGAAATATAATTAATTGAATATAGAAAAAAAAATTATTAAAAACCAAAAAGCTTAAAAAAATCTTTAAGTTAATTTTGAACTTTTGCTATTTACTATTAAACAAAATTTGTACTCAAATAATCATTACTTCATAAGGTATAAAGATTTCATAATTTTTTGAGCACAAAGGGTTTAGCCGGATACATATGATGAGTCGGCCCCCAAATGGGAATCGATATTGAAACTTATGTTTTAATATCGACTTGATGTTCAAACACGATTTATGTACTTTTCGCGACCGACTTCCGCTTTGACCTTGAGATAGAGAGCAAAATATCCGTATGCTTGACTATTACTGAATGTGATATATCTCTAAAGCTAATTAAGATAAAGAAGTGAAACTAACGCGAGGTGTTAGGTTACATTACAGAGTATATCACATATATTTTTTTATAATTTTTAGAATAAAAAATTACATTAAAAAAATAAAAAATAAAAAAATCATGTTTTTTTTTCTGAGTTCTCTGTGACTTACAATCACGAAATTAATATATGTTATGCTCCTTTGTGTGCTCTATTACCTATAAAAATTGCGTGAAAAAAAAGTTGGTGCAACACAACGAAAAAAAATTATATGTGATTTCTGTCTTATGGTATACCCCTGTATTATAAGGTTTTCACATTACATCATTGTTTTTTTTTCGAAATTTCACATCAGCTTGTTTTAAAACATAAGTAACTAGTCTTAAGAGATGGGATAATAGTTAAAAAAGATATGAAAAAAAAAACAGCCAGTGTTCAATACTTATTATTATTTTTTCGTGTCTATCAAAATACAAGAAACAAAATATTAATCATCGTCACTGTTGTAATTAATTACAATCGGAACACTTTGAGTCGCAAATAACTTAGTTAGGACCTCAGCAGGACGTACGATTTTGGACAAATATCATCCATATGATAGATAATAAATAATAGCTGCTACATGAGAACAGCATCCCACTGTACGTTTGCCTTTGGGGCAATCACAGCAATAACGAAGAATACTATTGTAGTCATTACCTTCGGAAATATAGTGAATGTAAATTCGATAGACTTTTCTATTTATATGTCTTGATTTTAATTCTGCTTTGATGATATTAGGTGCTGATTTCACATATTGTACTGAGAGATTATTTTGATCGTCCATTATTTCGGCCAAGTTAAATGCTGCACATTTAGAAGTAGAAGCTTTTTTGTTAATATATGGGATAAGTCGACACTTCTTACAAAAAATATCATTAACTATTACGATTTTATTCAAAAAGTCACTAAACACTTTAGCTTCTTCTTCATTCTTTATAATTTTTTTATAACCAGGAATCTTACATAGGTACTTGTTACAATTTTTACACTTTCTCGACATTATTACTTAATAATGATTTGGTTCGATAGTTAATAATTTCAAAATACTGATACAAAATACCTATGACAGAATTTGAGTCCCAAACTGCCTTCTTGTGATTACACAAGAAGGCAGTTTGGGACTCAAATTCTCGAGCTGTTCTCGAGCTGTTTACTGCATCGTTTGTTTAGCTGCTACTTTAGCTAAACAAACGATGCAGTAAACAGCTCGATAACAAGTTCGAACTTGTTTGTTTATACACTCACACTACAAGGCGCGAATCACATATAATTTTTTTTCGTTGTGTTGCACCAACTTTTTTTTCACGCAATTTTTATGGGTGATAGAGCACACAAAGGAGCATAACATATATTAATTTCGTGATTGTAAGTCACAGAGAACTCAGAAAAAAAAACATGTTTTTTTTTATTTTTATTTTTTTAATGTAATTTTTTATTCTTAAAATTATAAAAAAATATATGTGATATACTCTGTAATGTAACCTAACACCTCGCGTTAGTTTCACTTCTTTATCTTAATTAGCTTCAGAGATATATCACATTTAGTAATAGTCAAGCATACGGATATTTTGCTCTCTATCTCAAGGTCAAAGCGGAAGTCGGTCGCGAAAAGTACATAAATCGTGTTTGAACATCAAGTCTATATTAAAACATAAGTTTCAATATCGATTCCCATTTGGGGGCCGACTCGTCATACGTATCCGGCTAAACCCTTTATTACCCTATTTCAATAAAAACGATATAATTTCATAATTACTATATAATGCAATGCAACGTTCGAGATCAGTTTGTTCAGCCTTGTACCAAGTTTATTTATGTTTTTAATAGGTCTCTTAAGCTTTCGATTGAATTCATAGACTGATGATAAGTATAATGCAGAAGACGATGCGTCAACTGTCAAAATACTACGGTCAAACTATGTAGATAAATCATACAAATATAGTTTTTAAAATTAATCAGTACTGCAAATGTTTTGGTAATTAAAAATGGGAAAGATCTACGATGACCCTAAGGCAGGACTTATATCTTCTGCCCTTGCAAACCACATCTTGCCTGCAGCAATTATGAAACAGTATTTTAAATAATATATTTGTTTACAACAATTTCAAATTATATTTTAAAGTCATAGAAACAATATTTACTATCCTTAACTGAACTTTTCCGCTCATACTTAAAGAAATACTTTAATCACAAAAAAATCTTTTTACTAAATTTAAACCTAAAATTGTTTATTATAATAATGGCTTTCTATTGCATGATTTATTATGAAGCTAATGACAAAAATATTTATGACTATTGGAATAAAAAATCTCAAGGTATTAATGTATATAATATAATCAACACGTAAATAATGTTATTTTCTGTTCTAAATATTCAAACGACCGACTGGTAAAATATAATAATAATACCGGTTGAATTATGATTTTGATAACATGCTTGTCGAAGAAAGTGACTAGATATTTCTACACGCATGAATGTTTCTAATATACTCACTAGAGAGAGTCCGGTTCGTGATGACCTTCTTTCCGAAGCTTAGTGACACCGCCATTTTGTCCCCACTCAGGTACATTAGTGTAGCACATCCTGGAAAGTGAGATTGGCGACTAATTAATTACTTGTTTAATGGTCTTAATTTATGAAAAGTTACTACTTAAGTATGTATGAATAAAAGTTAATGCTTTTTAAATAATAGAAGAAAGAGTACTAAAGAATTTCATTTCTAAAATGGGTTCCTTTCAAAAGTTGAAACAATTTAGTAATAAAACTTCTTGAGGCTACACTTAACTTAATATAGAATCATAAGATCATTGTTCTAAATAAATCAAAAATAATTTATTTGTTAGAAATACACTTTATGGCTTCTAAGAAAGGATAAATAAAATCTTCACGATAATTTTTATCCTAATTATTGCTTTCAGATAACATAAGACTAAAATAGTCCATATAGTACAATGAATTGTGTCCAGACGACTCAAATTTCGTCAAATTTGAAATGTCAAACGTCAAATTTCAATAATCATTCGCCCTTCTACGTCCTCATTGCAGGGGCTCAGGCCTTATGGATGGTAAAGGAGGATGGTCAATGACCCTCCCTTTTTTGGTCATCCATCCCGCGACCGACCTTTGCAAAAGATCCTTAACAATAATGATTACGGGCCACGGCGCTCATCCACTACGCCACCGAGCTACACCAAGAGTTCAATGTCCATATAACTTTTTCATGGGTCAAAAACATTTCGAACGATTCCTGATAAAAGTGTTCTTGAAATCCGATCAGTGGTACTCTTTCCTCGTTACAAGTAAAATATATAATTAACGAAAAAACATAAACAACTTTTTCTCCAAGTTTTTAGATGTTTACCTAATAAAGTATCACGTAGAAAGTTAGTGATACTACTGGCTTCGTACAAAGAAAGCTTCCGAATAAGCTGTCAATAAAAATAATAAAACTAAATCACGTTTCTGAAGGCTTCTTAGGTAATGATCTCCATTTCTTGTTGTAATGAAGTTTCAATGTCATATAAAAAGAAAATTGATAAATATGTAAGTCACTTGAATATATTTATGTAGCACCTTTACAATGAACATAATAGTGCACTAATTATTCATTAAAAAGCATTTTCGGCGCACGATTCGCTATCATATCCCCATATACCTTATTGACGAGATGAAAAGACCCTTTTGGCTTCACGCCATCTCTTAATCAATCTCTTAAAGTTAACTTTTTGATATGATAAAATTACCTGGTCCGTTTAAATTGACCACAGGCACTTGGAAGTCTCGGCAACAATTGCAGTAAGCTTCTGAGCATTTACAATATTTGTTGATGCTATTGTCTTCCAATTTATCGCTGTCATTTCTGTTCTGGACCGCCTTCTTGTTACTGTTCTTTTGTTTTCCTGTTCAATAGAAAAAAAAAATGAAACATTATTATCTTACTTTAAAATATTATTCGTAGAAGTCGAATACTGTAGAAGTCTTTAGGCTTTCTACTATTTTTCCGATAGCGGCTCCGCCCGCATGGTATTCCCGTTTTTGCAACATTTTTCATTGCCTATAGCTTTCCTCGATAACTGGACTATTAACATAAAAATATTTTTTCAACTCGAATTTTCAATAGTCCTGAAATTTGCGAGTTCAACCTAACAAATAAACTCTTTAGCTTTACAATATTACAAGTATAGATTAACTATAAATTAGAGAATGTAATTATTATTCTTAAAAAAAATACATAAATACTAGTGCTATATATAAAAACATAAAAACTACTGATCTAAGAATATGATCAATGTATCTGATTTATCCCATTTATAAATAAATTGTACTATCTCAAGCACAACAAATAGGTTTATGTTTTTAAAAATGACATATTGACTAGAGTCGTATAATTAGAAAGCCGTCTGAAACTTTATTGTTACCAAACACGAAAGATAAAAAGAAAAAAATGACATTAATGAACTCACTCATCCGACAAAAAATCACGTTGAATAATACCACAAATTCTTACTACAGTTTTATTTAAAAAAAATAATAATAACATATAACTCTTATCGTTATGACTAAGTACTCGATTTCTTTATATCTAATTAACCAGAATTTATATTCAAGTGAAATCCGAACTTCAATTATTTATTGATTCTCCATATAAACAGTAATAAATCCTTGGGTCGTTTCACAAATAGAATAATGATATCTTAAATTACTTATAATTTCGGTTTTAAACTGTAATAAGTCCTTCGTTAGTAAATTTGCGCGTTAACATAACTTTCTCGCATTCGTAAATGCTTGTAATAAAACATATCATTTCTTTTTTTTTATAAAACTGAACATGTTAAAGTCAATCAAGAACTACTTCCCTGTAAAATAGATGGATGCGCGCACGCATACAAATCGATCAACAAAAACCTAATAATGCATAAGCCTAATGCTCAGAACTGATTACAAAATCACGAGCGTGTTATTTAATTGATCAGTAACTTTCACGAGGTAAAAATCACGCCATAAATTTGTTTTTAACGCCTAATCTTTTATTAATAGAATAGAGAAATAATTTTGCCTGAACATTAATAAAAATGTACTCTCTAGTAGCGAAAAGGCAACAAGCGCTTGAAAAATTCGTCAGTCCTGTTAAGTCCTGGGTAGTTCAGTGGTTAGAGCAGTCTCCCGGATTGCAAAAGGTCATGGGTTCGACTCCCATCTCAGAGTGCCAGGGACGAAGTGGATTTTTTAAGCATTTTTCATTAAAAATGTTTTTCAGTATAGCATTGTAAATACAAAATTAATCAATTATAATATTAGGAATAATTCTGTTTATGTTTCAGACATATTTGTACTTGTACTTGATATAATAAATAATTAGGGAAACTATAAAATTGTCAGTTCGCTTGGCTAATATTAAATTCTGATAAATTTAATTGTTATATTTATACCTCTAGTTAAGTTCGATAATGATAATCAGACATCGAACATTAAAGCTATCACAACTAAATACGATTTTCCAAAGTAAAGCTTTTTGTATTCTTTCACTTCATAGGTACATTATCTATACTTTTTAGTATTCGACAACACCACATACATTGCTCAGATGAGTAGCTAAAGCCCTCGTATTATGACAACCTTAGACAATAAAGGTGTCACAACACCCAGACCAGAGACAAATGGAAAAATCCATTTTATACATTGACCCGAACGGGAATCGAACCCGGGTCCTCAGAGATGGCGATACCTTGAAATTAATTATTATTATTTATTTTTTAAAGAAGTTTTTATTTGGGCGCACTAAAACATAAATAATAATTTATGCAAGACAAGTCCATAACAAAACGACCAGCCCTGCGAATTTGTAAAAATCCAAACCCGAATTCAAATTCTCTCAGGTGTCCGAATTCACTTCAAAAAGTGGCATCCGCTCAATCTTGAACTGGTAATAACGTTTCGTGGCATAAGTGAAGTGAGTTTCGAAATGACATAGAAATAGAATAGAATATCAATCAATTTTGTTTTGTATTTTATACAAATAATGGAATCAATAGAATTTCTTCACTAAATGAATTTGAATTCGAATTTGGATTTTTACAGAATCGCTCTGCATTGTCATGTAATTTTTTTAACTCTCAATTTAAATAAGTGGACATTATTATGCAACATTACAACAATTCAGTTTATATATAATATTATACTCACTGACGCTCTTTGATGCTGCAAACGCTAACAGCACGAAAATGAGCAACAGCTCAAAAACTAAGGAGAGCTTCATTTTGGAGGCTAGCTCTTCGCCTATAGCAAAAGGATAAATCACAATTAAATATTTGACAGTTTTAGATAACAATCAATCAAGAATATGTAATAGACTTGTTTCATTATGGCATTAATTATTTACGGCATTTTAAATATTAAAAATAAAATTGTCACCCTAGTTATAATTAACATTGGTAAGTTATTATTTAGTTCTAAATAATTCATTATTTATTTAAATACATATACAAATATGAAAACAGCTATGTAAAATATTTTTTATTGACAGTGAAAAAGGCAAAAGCAAAATTATCTCCTTAAGTTTGAATAAAACAATGTACAGTATACATTTTGTGTCTCATTATATAAACTTTAGGGTTTTAGTCAATAAACTTATTTTATTAACATAGTAATATTAAGAACACCGTTATATATCAATCGCGTTCAAGTCTTTTAATGTAATATAAAGAAAAACTTTTGACATAAGTAAAATTAGATTTTTTTCTAAGTTAAAAGATGAACTTTCATCTAATATTTAACCCATGATATTACTATACGACAAATTAATTAAATTACCTCATATAAAAAATATCTGTATGTCAGAAGCTCCAAACTAATCAAGTGGTTTCGTAGTGTCACACCTCCACGAACGTTCACGATCAATTAAATACAATTAACAGAAATCAGACTAGCCCTAAACGTATACACCGACGCCGGTAAACTCAACACTGGTTTGTAAAAAGAAGCTCCGCAACCAGAGAAACGCTATGACGTGTGTCAAACGAGAAAGGAAAACTGCTAGAATACGTCCCTCTCGCCGACGATAAAGAAGAAAGAGAGGGGCGAACCAGGGACGCACTTCGACGCCTAAGTAGATTTCAGTGTCAAGCTCGCAGTTAATATGTAATGTATATGTCACATAAAACTTATTTGGAATGTTCTTAATTGCAGAATGTTAGATTTCATTTTTATTTGACACTATTATTTTGTCTATTGAAAAATATATGTACCTTCTATGAACCAATCGCATTATTTTATACTTTGTTTTAAAAATTCTTTAGTTTGTTTCAGTTTAATGAATGAATTGTTATTTTTACGTTTGAATAAAATGATAGATTTTCCAACCCTTACATCAATTATAGTAAGGGCTTACTAGTCCTTCTATAGTTGATTATTTAGCAGTTAAATCATAATAACATTCACAGAGTATTACAATATGTCATCGCGACTTTAATATATACGAATACTCAAAATAGGAACGATTTGTACGTCTGTTTGTTTTTAAATAGGACCTATTTAAAAAAATTGTTAAATATATAATCTTTAATAATATTTCCACAGGGGACACTATAGTTTACGCAGGCAAAGTCACGGCAAAACAGTTAGCCTCTTTAAAAACACCGTACATAGATCAATTAATTATTACGAATGTGATCTCTAATCAAGAATAACTATACTTTTTATAATTAATTATTAATATTATTATAGATCTATTTATTAGATACCATTATTTTGCCCGTCTCTGGCTTAATGTTTAGCAAGTAAAAATTACATAATGACATACCAATACTATAAATAATACCAGACGGTTGTTCAAATTAATAAACAGTATTCAAACTTTATAGAAAATATAACTTGTTAAATAAAATCATGTATTTTTCTTTACAATATTTTATTCCATTTCTGATTATCTTCCATACATATTCTAGAAAAGAACCATAAGCAGTGCGTTGCTCTCGGATATACTACTACTGAAGTGAATTGGCACACATTATATATTTATTTTCATTTTAAGCTTATCAAATGATTTTCTTTCCAATTTTCGATTCAATTCAACGTTTAAATATCAAGTTGGTAATTTGATTTAAAACTGATATGTATATATGTATTTATAGGTACAATATTGGCAAAGCAAAACACGTCCGACAAAGTCAACAAAATTTATGTGTTAAGAATAATTTACCTTTGATATAAAATAAAAAATGATGTATTGTTATGCGTTTTATTTTTTCTCTTCCATCCGTACATCCAACTCTTTATACCAAACAAAAATTATTGGTCCCTTGAAATTCGTTATAAGTTATAAATTCGCTTAAATCTTTATAACATTATTTTCCAGTTTCAAAACTGTTATATATCCTGACTGCCTCAAAAATATACTTAATTCACATTATTTTTCGGTTTTAAACGTGATGGTAAATTTCTATACAAACTACGCTTTTCTTTCGTATTCTAATAGATATAGAAGTAGATTTTTAAGGTCCCGTAGCCAATAGGGAACCATTATATTTTCATATTAAATAAGCTAAGAGTGGCTTACTTGTAATTTCAATTCAGAACAGAGTACACATAAAATTACACCGATAAATGGTAGATGCGAATAAATTCTCAGTAACATTCACGTATATAAAACGAGGTTAGATATGAGCACAAAACCTACTTAAGTTTTACAGCTCAACAGTAAGAGTAATAGTCATCCAACTCATAAAATTTAATAGCAATAGTACAAAACAAAATGTCATTTTAAATCTACTCAAAACTTATTTTGATGAAATTACCAGCTGTGTAAAACAAATCGTAAATTTAAATTGACCGTATTTAAAACACTACAGATACATGTACATGTACTCTAAAGATAGATAGTACATACCCTATAGAGTTGCTAAATGCCCACCAAAATTTACTAAAAATACTCCAAAAACGAACACCAAAAACCGGCCAAATGCCAGTTGGATTCGAGCACGAAAGGTTTCTTCCCCTTACTTAAAAAAACGGCAAAAATGTATGGTAGCTCCTTCAAATATTTATTTGATTCTGTTTTTCTTATTTGTTGTTATAGCGCTAATATAAATATATCTCCTCTGAAAAATTTCAACTGTCTAACTATCATAATTCTTGAAATATTCCAGTTCTACCGTTTTGACTAAAATTACTGTTCATCAAGTCATGTATTTTGGTATAGATAAACTCATAGTATCAAACAAATAGCTCACACTACTACAGAATTTTATACTGTTATTGTTTTTTTTAAACGTTGTCTAAACGACCATTTCAAGGCGTCATCTGTACAAGAAGGTCGTCTCCGCACCCAATCATCTCCGCAGCGTATGCCACGGTCACTTTCTACTCGGAGAAAGTAGTCAGCATCGAACAGTCCAGAATATTTTGTTTGTTTTACCAATTCACTGCATTCACACTCACTAAAAATATTACGTGAGGCACCTGTATTAAATCATAGTAAAGAAAGACACGAGTTAATAAGCATTATTTTTCTTATAAGGAAAGCATGACAAACTCAACTGACAAACAGACCTTGTAACTGAAATAGATACATTTAAAATGGTCATCATAGTTAAAAAATGACTTTAAGTTTTTCTGAGGTTTTATGTCGAGCTGTTGAATACTCAATAAACTTACAAAAATGCATTATTGGCAGTGCTGAAAATGCTGCGCTGTAACAGCATCTGAGGTTCAATAAAAAAAAAACAAATTGAAAAGGTAATAAATGTTTTATTTGATAAAAACTCTGTTTTTACAGAATATCAAAACTGTGATCTATCTAAAGAATAAAGTTACTTCTGATGTTTACTTTCAAGAAAGTTTTGGAATTTTACTAATACAAAAGTATATATTACTTTAGTCTTAATTTATTCAAGAGAATTAATTATAAAAACCCGAGACAATATAGAAAAGTTGATTTTCTACATTAAGCCGATCCGGGGATTGAACCTGGGACCTCGCAGATGGCTATACCTTGAAACCGGTGTGCGAGTCCACAATAGAAGGTCGCAATTAAATTCGTAACTAACGTAACCTTTGTTCCACCCTAAACCTGAAATAGACATTCTTATGACAATCATCCTTTAAGCTTTGTTTTTAACTATGTATGAAATGTTATATTTATATTACTACTAGCTTTCCGCCTGCGCAAGCGGCAAGTCCAGAAATGAGAAAATTCCATATTAACTTCACCCTCCGATTTCACCCCTTTAGGGGTTGAATTTCTAAAAATCTTTTCTTAGTGCTCACTTACATCATGAAAGTAACCCCTGTATAAAATTTCAAGTTTCGGTTGTGCCATTTATATATAGAGAGTCAGGTAAAATTTTAATATTAATTCATTAGATGATATTATAAATTTTATATTATCTTTAATATTTTCTGAGTCCAAAACCACCTTACCCTACTAATAGATAACTGTCTAGTGTGTTTATTATAGCTATAGGTTAGGAATGAAATCTCTTTAGATTTAATAGTTTTGAGACTAAATGAAGTTATAGGTCATTAACTCCGTTATCATCTCAATTTTAATACAATAAAAATAAAAATTATAGACTTCTAAAGCATACTATTATATACCTATATGCCAGCATTTGACTGTATCTAAATCAGTTGTTAATGTAATAACAACATTTTCTTAAACATATTTTTGAGTAATTAACTCAATGAGTTTGCCTATTTCATCTATAATATTCTGTAAACGTAAGCGGCATGAGTTTAATGACCTTCATCTGGGGCAGTGGCTCACGGTGCATAGTGGTATCACATACGTCACGATGCACGCTGCAGTAATAGTGCTGCACCATTCGTCGCTAATTAAATTTAATTCATGTCGATAAATAGATAATGCTCATTAACTTTTTTAATTAATTTCTCATTTAATATAATTACATTTAAACGGCATTTATTTAATACCTAATATATTTTATGCATTAGGCTTTTTAGGTGTTTCTGATCTATAGCATGATGAGTTTTCGAAATTTAGTTTCGATTTAACAAGATTGGCATTGATAATAGGCATTAAAGTAGAGGAGTCGGACTCAGTCGGTACATCATAACTATGTACACAGAAAATGTACAAATGTGTGATGTCATACGACTTTTCAACTTAATGTGTAGCCGTAATTTATTAATTACATAAAAAAACGTGTGTAGTGTTCTTTAATAATTTACCCGATGAACAGATTAACAAAAATTAGTCATCATCCCTATTGGATTTCTAGTTATTCAACGGTTGTTATATTCAATTGTTAGTCTTATGTTTATCTTAAGATAAAGAAGATAATAATACACGCAACTGCTGATCATCCTGTCGAATAAATGAATGTGTTATATGTAGTTGTCAAAACGTCACTACTTGAGCTAATATCACTGTTATGAACAATTACTCATTAATTGCTTATATACAATCATAATATGATTACTTACAAAGAGTGATTTTTAAAACTCATATATTTTATGAGATTTAATATACCGACATATAAACAGATATAGTGAATTATTTACATTTGCAGTATGTATTCTTGTTACGATTTTGTTCTTGGTCGTGTAATATTCATCACTAAACAAAATTTCAACACCGGCTAAAATATTTATTATTCTTAGAAGATTGATAAATTGTAAATGTTCATATGTAGCATAGCAACTACTATTACCGTAGTTAATTAACCAGTAGTAACTTTTTTTTTATTTACAATATTAACTCATAAATAAATAACACCACTGCGGTTATGTTTCTTGCGATCAAATCAGTAATTCACTATACCATCCATGAGTCGCTCGATATTTCACCGCGAAGAGCTTCCCATCCCTAAAACTTGAATTGCATAGAGAGAATATAGTAGACTGTTCAGCTTTCTCTAAAGGTGTGTTTCATGCACCTGCTTTTTAATACTATGAAGATACATATACATATAAATAGTTTGTAGCATTATAGAATAAA